TCGGAGGAGGAGGAATTCTGGAGGTCAGGTGGCTTCCCAATAGCACGGGGCCTGGAATGTGCTTTGAAATTCCTCACTCCCCGCAGTCGCCTCCCTAGGTATTTGCTCCGCCTGCCCAGGGGAAGCTGAACATCAAGCCGGGGCAAGGTCTGTCCCTACAGGGCCTGCTGCGGAGACAGCGGGGGCACGGGGCAGCTGGACGCGAACCCCTGGAGCTGGCCTCACACCCCATGAGAGGCTCTTACCCAGGCGTCTCCCCGTCAGTCCCCCAAACGCTGCCTGGCGGCACGTTCTCCCTGGGGAGGGAGGTCCGAGGAACGTCCCCCGTCCGCCTGCAGAGGTGCCCGCGGCCCCTGCCTGCCTCTGCACAGGTGCCCTTCTCAGGGCTTCCAGGACACTTTCCAAATTGGGGGGGCGGCGGGGATGAGAGCTGCACCAGCACCATCGTGACTGATAGGACCACAGCCTGGCTGGGCTCTGAAGTCAAACAAGGACCTGCCTGGAAGGTTCAGGGGGCCCTGGGCCTGGACGTGAGGGGTGGGACCCAGCAATCCGGGGGAGACCCTGTTGGTTAGAGCTTCGCCGCCTTTAGAGCACACAGGGGCCCGGCAGCTACCTCGTCCGTCCTACGGGTGAGGAAGTTGAGGCCCAGGGAGGGGAAGGTTCTCACCCAAGACTTTCCAGCCACGCGGTACCTTTAGTGGCAGGTCTGGGGCCCCAACCTAAGTCTCTAATCTCCAGCACGGGCCGCTGCGGCCCTACTGCGCTCGTCTTGGGAGTCCGAACCCTGTGACGCCGCCTCTATGGGGCGGCCTCTTCTCGGGGGAAGGCGGACGGCTCGCAGCTCTGGCGTGGACTCAGGCAGGCTGTGGGCGCAGGCCGGTCCCCACCTCGCTGCTCTCCCCGTCCCGAGCCTTACCTCCAACCGGGAGCCGCCGCGATCCGCAGAGCCTCAGCAGGGACTGGGCGAGGGCAGGGGACCGAGAGGCTTTAAGCAGGCCTGTGGGCTGGGCCCGGTGAGCCAACCCGCGGCGGGAGGAATGTGCGGCGGGACGAGAGGGGGCGCGGGGGGTGTTGGCTGCTATTTTGGCAGGTGCCAGGGACAGGGCTCTAGGAACATGCACCCCACGCCATATAAGCCCATGTGGTTGTCCAGCTGCTCAGATAAGCTATTTAAAACCGGAGCAGACAGGCAGGAACGGAGCGCGGAGCAGGCATGTAACAGAAGCCAGCTGTCCCTCTCGAGAATCCCGATAAAGCAGATGCCAGAGGCGCAGTCCCGGGAAGGCAGGCTGGGAGCGGGCCGGGCACCGGGCAACCCCGAGGCGCCTCACGAGTCCTCGGGCCAGGCTCTGGGGCACACGGAAGGGCGACCTGCACCTCCACTTACGAGACGACGCTGCAGGGAGGGCGTCTTCCAGGCTCCTGGCTGCTTCCCTGGGCCGAGCGGCCTTGCCCAGCGGGCAGGCTCCACAGGCCTCAGTGGGGACACGCGCCACGTGGGTCTTCTGCACGCCCCCCAGAGCCAGGGGACAAGCACTCTCCTCCCTGGGAAGGGGCTAGGGCTGCCACAGAAGGTCAGATACAAGTAGAACTTCCAGGCAGTTTGAGGGGCCGTGAGGACTGCTGAAGTTGGCTCCCCCTTGCAGCCGTCCGAAGGCCTGAAGACGAGCCCTATGGGACCATGATCTGCTGTAGGATCCGCAGGCCGGGGCCCGGGGGCTTGCGGTTTGCCCGCACGTTTATGTCCACAGCCCCTGGCACGGTGGCCCGGACGTCGTGGGGTGCGATATGTGATGGAAATGGAGGGGGAAAGTGGGTCGGAGCTGAGCCTCCCCCTCAATGTGTCCGAGTCTTCGAGGCCTCTGTCCCACCTCCGAAGAAGGAACGCCCGTCCTCCGGGCCCGCCCCGCCACCCCGCACCCCCAGCTCGAAGCCCCAGCCCCCCACATCTTGCCCATCGGGGACACACACCCATTTCTCCGTGGGTGAAGAGGGCCAGACTCCCCTTTTCTCCTCCTCTCCCGGCCTCACCCCGTACCCACGCCCCCTGATCCTGGACGGCCCTCAGGTGCCCGCCACCACCATTCTGGACAGAAGGCGGAACTTCCACCTTCTGCTGCCACGCTGCCCCGTGGGCTCAGTGGAAACCGTCCCCCCCACCACGCTCCCAGTGGCCGCCTCCGGGCTCATCCCCCATGTGGTCCTCCACATTGTGGCACATGCAACAGGGCAGGCTGAGGCCCCATGTCTACCCTCCCATGGCCTGGGGGAGGACCACCCTGCAGCCTCCCTGGGGGAGGACCATCCTGCGGCCTGGGGGAGGATCACCCTGAAGCCTCCCTGGGGGAGGACCATCCTGCGGCCTGGGGGAGAATCACCTTGTAGCCTCCCTGGGGGAGGATCACCCTGAAGCCTCCCTGGGGGAGGACCACCCTGAAGCCTCCCTGGGGAGGAATCCAGCCCTGGGGAGATCACCTGAGCCTCCCTGGGGGAGGACCATCCTGCAGCCTGAGGAGAATCACCCTGCAGCCTCCCTGGGGGAGGATCACCCTGAAGCCTTCCTGGGGGAGGACCGTCCTGTAGCCTGGGGGAGGACCACCCTGCTGCCTCCCTGGGGGAGGATCATCCTGCAGCCTCCCTGGGGGAGGACTGTCCTGCGGCCTGGGGGAGGACTGCAGACAAGCAGAGAGGAGGTGGAGAGGGGCAGGTGGAGGGAGCAGATTGACAGAGGAGCAGAGGCAACTAGACGGTCCCGAGAGAGACGGAGGAAAAGCATTCTGGTCCCGCTCCCCTGTCTAGCCCACCGGGGTGCAGCCTTGCTTGTGTCCTGGCCTGGAATCTCCTGCAATTTAGCGACGGCCTATCTTAGACCTTCCCTTAACTTGAGCCACTTCCACTGGATTATGGTTCTTCGTAAGCCCAACAATCCTTCAAACGGGCCGTCGTTTGCACAGCTGCCTGGGAGAGGTCCCCGGGCACCTAAATCACCACAGAGCCCCACGAGAAAAATCCAGTAGGTTCTTGACGCTCTTGGACCACGTGAAGCTTTTACCAACTGTCCCAAAGCAGGGATTTAATGCAGATTAGAGTCCAGCCACTTCCCGCAGCCACACCTGGACAGGGCAGGGTTGCTCCCATCCTGTCACGGGTGCTGGGTCCTTGCAAATAGCTCGAGTTACCTCCTAGTGCTAACGGTAGAAGGGAAGAGAAAACGGAGATGGTGCTCGCCCCGGGTTTTACTGGAAGCAGCACACACTGGAAGACCGCCTGCACGTTTAAGGACCCACAGAGAGCAGGGCAGGTGTGGGTCCCAAGGACACCGGGACAGCAAGGTAGTCGGGGCAAGGAGTGGTCGGTATCTGGGTAGGGGGACCTGCTCAGCGTCACCTCCTCCCAGAGCCCGCCCCTGCCCACGAAGCCACCCAGTCGCCACCCTGCTGCACTTGGTCCTCACACTGGTCCCCCGCGGAGATCATTGGGTGCATGGAATTGTCTCCTTGTTGGGTGAGGAATGAGGTCAAGGCCTATATGGGGGATGCATGAATGCAAAGGGCAGGGAGTCATGGGGTCCCGTCCCCAACACTCCACCCTGCAGCCTGTCCTTGGTCACCCCGGGAGGGGGGGGTGATGCAGGCATGGACCTGTGGAAGCAGCTGCCAGGACACCTCCAGACACCCAGGACCGAGCCAGCCATGCTCTGGAGGAGGGTATCTGGGAGCCTCTCCCCAGAAAGGTCTATGTGAGGACATTGCCTGCAGAACAAGTTCACCTGCCAGGGGACTTTCCAAAGTTTAGAACACGAGCATCCAAAAGTCCTAGTCCTTGTTTGAACCCTGAGTTCCCAGCAGGCCCTTTTAAGTCTCTGGGCAGTGCTCATCACACTCCTCCCCCTGCCCCTGGTTTTGTCCTCAAATTCTAGGAGTGGAGCACCGGCAAAAGCTCCAGGCCTTGGGGGAGTCCGTGGGGTGCAGGGTGGGGCCTCCAGGTCCCACTGTCCATTGCTCAGCACAGGCAAGGGACCAGAGATGGGAGACCCACCAGCCGAAGATGGGCCAGCCTGGGGTCACTGTGGGGCCTGCACCGGTGGGGTCCTAAGGGCCTTCTGTCCCCTGGACCCAAGGACCAAGGCAGGAGCCTCGCTGTCCATCACAGGGGCTGGGACGAGGCTGGTCGTCGCCCACAAGTTGGGGAACTGAGGCCTGGTGATGCCCTTCAGGGCCGTGTTCTGAGAAACTCTGGGGTTTTCCAGGTAAGCCTGGGGACGGGGGACAAAGGGGAAGTGGGCAGGGCTCTGATTCTCCCCTACGTCCCCAGCTGGCTCTGGGTAAAACCAGAGCAGTTAGGAAGGAAAGGTCTCAGGACGCCTGGGTCTGCGTCCCAAGATGCAGATGTTGAGCGTCTGGCTTCAGCCCAGGGTGTGACCCTGGGTCCCGGGATCGAGTCCCGCATCGGGATCCCCTCAGGGAGCCTGCTTCTCCCTCTGCCTGGGTCTCTGCCTCTCTCTGTATCTCTCATGAATAAGTAAATAAAATCTTTAAAAAAAAAAAAAAGGAAGAAAAGTTCTCATCAAATTCAAATGGGAAAAAAATGCATGTGTGTGTAATAGAGCATATACGTGTGGGGGGTATAGACTGTATCTGTGCATACATGTAGGCATACACGTGTACACATACACACGCGCACACACACGCAATTTAGTTTTTGTTCTTTTGATTACAGCATTAAAGGGTTTGACAGGGCACCAGACTGACTTGGGTTTGTCCTAGATTCTCATAAAGCTCAGCATCCTCCATGCTCACATGGGCCATGACCTCGGGGGGTAGAGGAGGGCCGTGGGGAGAAGGCGCTGAGGGAGTGAGTCACCCTGCCAGGATGGGGGGCAGCTCACCTCCACGTGAGCAAAAGAGGGGGTTGACCCCCCCCCCCGCCGTCCAGTCACAACCATCGTCCTCACACGCCCCCGACGACCCTGCTGGAAAGCAAATCCCCAGGCAGGATGCAGTGAATGAGTTTATCAGCTCTTTCCTGAGAACAGCTTTTGCAGCAGGAGGGTGAGGGGGTGCACAGAAAGGGCCCCAAGCACCGGTCCTGAGCCGCAGCCCAAGACGGGAGAGGAAATCAAAGCAGGGCTCCGGGGCGCGGGGCGGGCGCGGGGCAGGCGCAGGGGCTCCCGTCCAGGCCGGGCGGCCTGGGGCCCAGGTGCACACGCCCAGGCCTCGATGAGGCAGTGACGTCACAGGCACGGGGAGGCACCTGCTGGGAGGCCGCAGAGGGGACCCTGAGCTCAGGGAGACAGCAGCGCGCGGCCCTGGACGAGCAGGTCCCGGCAGCCACCTCGGCCCGGTGCGGAGGCCACCCTGGGTGCTGGGCCCTGCGCCGGCCTGGGTCCCGGATGTGCCAGTGCGGAGGGGTGAGGGGGCGCTCGGCCGGGAAGGAGGCGTTGGCCCCCCCGACACTCCTGGCCCCGGGTCAGAGGCAGAGAGGGAGCAGGGCGGCGGGGGGCAGGCTCGCGGGGTCTGTCCTGGCAGCGCCCATCACACCTGCGGGGCAGACGTCTGTCAGGAAAGACAAGGGGGTCCCTGGGCAGGACGGCCTCCCTGGGCCCTGGCCCACAGCCGTGCTGGCCAGAAACCCCAAAACCCCTTGTGGAAGGGGCTTGGGGCTTTGCAGAGCTGTGGGGAAAGAGGGGCCGGCCCGGGGGTTCAGCCAGTGTCCCCGAGGTTGGGTCCAACAGGCCGGAGAGCAGAAGCAGGGCATTCTGGGTCCCAGCACGATGCACCCGGGCAGGGGGTCTCCCCAGGGCAGCCCCCCTCTGCCCCTCACCTCGGCGTCCAGGGACGAGTCTGCTTTCCGTCCCCACTGGGTCCTCTTTGTGGCCACCGACTCTTTCCCCACCTCCTGGTTGGGGACATCAGTGTGGGTGGGAGGGCGGCAGCCTGAGGCAGCGTGCAGGGGGCCTTGGGGTCCCCAGCCCCACTCCTCCTGGCGACAGCCCCAGCCCCCCGACTCTCCATGGCCTCCCTGCCTGGAGCATCTGTCTCCGTTTCCCTCAGGGGGAACCCCCCCGCCCCCCCCCCACCCGCCCCCCCCCACCTGGGTTATGCCACCGAGCAGGGCCCGTGCATGAGGCTCAGGGAGGGACAGGGTACCTGGGGGTCCTGCTCTCCGGACTCCTGGGTCCTGCTGATCCACAGGTTGAGCCTCGATGTCACCACCCCCGAGAGCTTCAGGTTCTCCTGAAGAGAAAGGCTCATGTCTCAGGGCTCGGGGCTCACGTCTCGGGGCTCGCGGGGCTCACGTCTTGGGGCTCGGGGCTCAGGGCTCGGGGCTGCTGGCTACAGCAGGGCGCTCGGGAGGCCCGGGTGCAGGGACGTGATTCTCCATCACTCCCAGGCCCACTCGGCACGGGCCACACGTGTCCGGGAACCCCCCCCCACCACCAGCGCTGCGCCCGCAGCTACGGAGACGAACCCCCCCAGGGTCCGGCTCTGCGTCGGGAGGCCCAAGGGCGCACCTTCCGGCCCGAGGCCACCTCCGCGCGGCCCTGGCCCAGCAGCTCCTTCTCAAAGAGGTGGCGCTTGCTGGCTACGCCCACGGGCGCCACAAAGAACTCCGTGCGGGACGAGCCCGGAGACTTGACGGATTCGGATCTCTGGGAAGAGAGGACACAGACGGCTGACCGGGCAGGAGAGGCGCTCGGGCCTCGGCGCCCAGGCCGCTCGGGCCCCCAGGCGCCCCCACAGAGCCCTGCCCACCTGGACAGCCGTGTGGTATCTCTCCAGCTTCTCCCCCAGCTTGGCCGTGCCAGCCGGGAGCCTCATGCTGGCGCTGCGGGACGGAGGACAGAGGACAGGGCAGCTGAGACCCCGGCCTCAGCCCGCCCCGAGCCGTACCCACCCGGCCTGCGGCCACGCAGAACACGGCCCCCGTCACCGAACTGGACTACGGCGACTCGGCCGGGGTGAAGCCCGACCGGAACGCCCGGGGACCTTTCCTCCCCTCCCCAGAGACGCCTGACACCCCCCCCCCAGGCCACTCCCGCCCCAGACAAAGCCCATCCTGTCCTTCCAGCTCAAGGCTCTCGGCCACAGGGCAGGGACCAAACTCCCAGGCGTGGCACAGGCTCCCGCGGCCTGGTTCCCGCCTCCCCTCCCGACACCAGCGTCCCCACCGCCTCGACCCCTTTCTCCACGTGCTCACGGCCAGTTAGCCAGACACCTCACGCTTTTCACACCTGTGCCTTTACTTGTGCTCTTCCCTCTATTTCAAGTCCCAACTGGAAGTCAATCGCTCCGGCTCCCGCAGGCTGGGCTGTTTGCAGCCACTTCGGGGCCACATTCCTGTCCCTGCACCTCCCTGCTGGGTTGGGGCGGGGGGGGGGGGGTTGATGGATGGGGGGGCTCCTGCATGATTAACCGTCCGATGTGAGGTGCTGGAGAGTGGCAGCCACGTCTCCTTTGTCTGCGTACCCCCTGGCCGCCCCCGTCACCCCAGCCCTTGCCCGGGACAGTCCTCCTAATACACGAGCACAACTGCTTTTCAGGCCCTATTTCCCTTTTCTTCTTCTTCTTTTTTTTTTTCCGAAACGCAGTCCTCAAACTACTTGCATCAAAATTAGGGGGCACAGGGGTGCTCCTGGAACATGCAGATTCCCAGGCCTGCTAAAGCAGAGGCTTCCCCCTTCCCCTCCTGCAGGGCTCTGCACCCCGACTCCCTCCGCCTGCAGAGCCCCCCACCCAAGTCCTGCCTCCTTCCAAAAGGCTCTACTCTCCCTCCCTGTTCATCTCACTGGGCCTCCATCCCCGCGTCAATCCCATCGCCCTGCAGGACCCGGAGCCCTGGCCAAGGACGGCACCTTCCCTTCAGGTGCCCTGTGGCACCGCCCGGGAGGGCACGCAGCAGGCGCTCAGCAAACACAGGCTGAACGTGACCGTGACCAGACCAGGCCAGGCCAGAGCCTCCCGGTCGCTGACCTGCGGGTCAAGGTTGTTTCCGGGTTGTCTCTCCTGGGGCTCATCTGAAACAAGAAGGAAAGGCTGTGATGAGTGAGAGTCCCGAGGAAGCCAGGGCCCTGCACCAGGGAAGGGCTCAGCTCTCTGAATACGCCTCCTCCACCTCCTCGTCCTCCTCCTACCCCCAACCAAACCTCCTCCTCATGTCCGGGGAGACACAGGCCCCCACCCAGCAGGCTGGGTCAGAAGCCCTCCGCGGCCCGCCACCGGCTCCACGGCACCCAGCTGTCTCCCCGCCTGCCTCCCCGCTGCAGGGACCAGCGCTGGTCAAGGGCAGGCCCCCGCTTCCTCCCCGGGGCCTGGCGCACGACAGCAACACAAGGCACAGTCAGCCGCGAACCAGACACTGAGCATGAACCCCAGAGGGTGAGCGGAGAGGCCCGGCCCGCACAACGGGGACCACTGGGGCAGAGGCAGAGCAGGGAGGTGCAGGCGGGCCCCGCCGCTCCAGCGCCCACCCTTCGCCTGCGCCAGCCTCCTGGGTGGGATGGGGACCCGGTGAGGGCAGGCCCGGTCCCCTGGGCCCCGCTGAACCTGCCGGTCCCCCTCCTGCAGCTCGGGCCCTGCCCACTAGGTGGGGCTGCTCGGCCCTCTGAGCGCCGAGTCCTCGGCTCTGGGCCTCCCAAGGCCAAAGCCCCTCTCCATCCCAAGGACCCACCTGCCACCTAACCTAGGGCCCTGACGCTGCAACAAACGCTGGTTCCCCGGCCTGCCCTCCAGCGCCCCGGGCGCTCACCCGGAAGGAGATGGTCCTGGGGCTGGAGCGTCTGAGGGAGCTGCTGTAGGTAGCCTGGGTGGGCGAGAGAGTGTCCACCTCTCCCTCCTTGCTGGGGATTTTCACCTGGGCGGAGGGGGCAGGGAGTGTCACAGGGGAGGTCCCGGTAGCCCAAAGCCCAAGCCGCCAGGGGGACCCCATGAGGCTCGGCTCGCCCCAGGAGCCGCAGGAGGGAAGGGGGGAGAACCACGGTCCTATGCCTTCCCCTGCTGCCTCCTGGCCCTCCGCCTCTGCGGAGGGAGTGACGGACACGGATCTGTGGGGCCGGGCCACCACACAGAGCTTTCCAGCAGAACTTCTGCAAGGACCTGAGCTTCCCAAAAGGCTGCTGGAGCCCTGAAGTCCAGGCCCTGGATGATGGCGGGGTGTGGGGTGCAGGGATGCGGGGTGCAGGGGCTCTATCACACAGCTGAGGCTCTTCCCAGCTGCCCGCAGCCTGGCCCTGCCTCAGGGTCCCCTATTCTGACAGTGACCAGAGGCAGGGAGAGGAAACTGCCCGAGCCGGCGTCCTGGAGAGAGGACGGGAAACAAGGGCTCCAGGGCGCCAGGGCCCGCCTGCAGCGGAACGCAAGGGGCGCGCAGGGGTGCGAGGGGCAGGGGCATCGCCAACCTGCAGTGTGATGGACGGGAGGCGCGAAGAAGCCGCGGTCGGAGGCTCGGGCGCCCGCTGCTCCCCCTGCTCGGCCGAGGACCGGGGGCTCTCGTCGGGGAGGGCCCTTCCCGGCTGCCCCGCGGCGGCGGGCTGGCTCCCCCCCGAGGCCGGCTGCCCCCCTGCCCTCCTCGGCGCCAGCTTGCTCCCGGCGGCCGGGGTCTTCTCCGACGCCAGAGACTTCTCAAAGAGCGACGCTTTCTCAGAAACCAGTCTCCTTTCCGGGTCTGAGGTCTTCCCTGGGGCCGGCGGCTTCTCCGGGACACCTGTTCTTTCTAGAAGGGACTTCTTCTCCGGGATGGCTCTCTTCTCGGGCGCAGACGTCTTCTGGGGGCCCAGGGCCTCCTGTGAGCGGCTCGCTTCCGCCGACACCAGTCTCTCTGCAGGTGCCAACGTCTCCTCTGGCACAGCCGGCTTCCCCGAGACCTCCTCCTTCCCGCCTGCTGAGCCCCGGCCCCCCGGGCTCTCGTCCTCCCCGGCCCGGGGGCCCCGCTGCTCCCCGCTCGGGCCGAGGGGCTGCTGCTTGGCCTGCCCCGGGCCAGAGCGCTCCCTTCCCGCTCCTGCCTCCGGCTGGCCCGGGGCCTGGGCCGCCTCCACCGCCTGCCGCCTCTGCCTCCGCTCCTGCCGTGTCCGGAGGATGGCCTGGACGTCCTCGTCCTCGTCCTTGGAGACGGAAGTTCGTGGCTTGGGCACCTCTGCTTCCTCTACGCTCGGCAGCCTAGGCCGGAAGATGGGAGACGGGGGCGAGGTAAGGCTCAGAGGCCACCCGGGGCGGGAGAGACGCTGCCAGGGCGGGCGGGCCCGGGGGCTCCCCGGCCAACCACCACTTGACTACACGTTGGGCTCCCGGGAAACCCCCCGGACAAAGCACAAAGCGCTTTGAACGAGTTTATAAACCCCCACAAGGCCCAGCCCGTCCACGCTCAGACCCCAGCAACCAACACTGACCCATCGGCTGCCTCCCAGGCGTCAGGCCCCTCGCTGGGCGCTGGAGGTCGCTGGAGGTCGGAAGGAATAAACGCCCCCGCCCTTGGCCCTTAGAGCTCAGCTCAAGACCAGACACGTCGGGACGTGCCAAAGGTCGCACAGATAGCGAACTGGGAGGAGAACCCAAAGCCCTGACACAGCGCCCTGCCCTGCTGCTGGTCACGTGGCCGCCGGCCCCAGAGGCCAGCCCAGCCGCCCACCTGCTCCCCCTTCTCTCGGGGACCCACGGGAGCAGGCGCAACGCGGGGGAGACGGTCCAGAAGCTGCAGCACTCGGCCTCCAGGACATTCTTTTCCTCCCTCACCACCCTGCCCTCCAGCGATTCGCTGTCTGGGCCTCAACTTCCACATCTGCAAGCTGGGTGAAACGAGACTCCTTCTCCGTGAGTGCCCAGCCCAGTCCCCCGCACACAGGGGACTTCTTTTTCCTCGTAACCTTGAAATCTAGGTGGCAAGAGTAGCCCCGTGTCCCTGCCTCAGCAGGGGTGACGGGGGTCGGGGTCGCAGGGAGGCAGCCTGTGCAGAGCGCTGAGCCACAGGCCGGACAGATGGGGACAAGGCCCGGCCCTGCCTCCGAGCTCTGTGCCACCTCTCGGAGCTGTGCCTCCCCCTGTAAGGTCGCTTCAGGCCTCTCCCCGAGTCAGGGGTCCTGCGAGGACCGGCTCTCGGCTGCGCCAGCGTCCGGCCTGTTCCGCTCCCCGGAGGGTGGCGGTGGCTGCGTGGCTGCGGCTCGGGGGGTGAGGAGCTCCCTGCCGGTCAAACCCCTTGTCCTTGGTCTGTCTGGGCAGCTGGGTGCGTCCCGGCACCCGGGGTGGGGAAGTGGCACCTCGTCCCGCCCCGCCCTGAGCACCTCTCGGCCGCCGGCGAGTCTCCGTTCTGGGTGAGCCTGGGGGCCTCGTCGTCCGTGGCGGAGCTCAGGGTACGGTGCCGCCGCCGCCGCTCGCGCTCCTGCTCCTCCTCATCTTCTAGAGTCCACTGCCTGGCCAGGCTGCGGGGCGGGGGACAGCGTCAGGGCAGCCCACGCAAGACCCCGGGGCCCCCCTTCCCAAGCGGCCCCTGCGGAGCCAGGAGGAGGGAGCCAAGGCTCCCGGGCCGGGGCCGTGGGCAGGGGGCACTGGAGCCGCGGCTGGGCTGAGCCGGGTGTGCTCCAACACACGCGTGTCCCCAACACCCGATACCAAAGACACTGCAAAGCATCTCATTAGGAATTCTGCATTTGGGGCACCTGGGGGGCTCAGTCGGTTAGGCGGGTGGTGATCCCAGGGTCCTGGGATCAAGCCTGAGTCAGGGACCCTGCCCCCAGGGGAGCTTGCCCACCCCCACCCCCCGTCCCTCCCCTGCTTGTGCTCGCTCGCTCTCTCAAACTCTCTCTTTGGAATCAATAATTTTTAAAAAATTTTTTTAAATAAAAATAGTAATTCTGCATGTGGATTACACATTGAAATGATAATATTTTGGGTATACTGGGGTAAATGAGATATTATTAAAATTGATCACCTGTTCCTTTTCACTTTCTTAGTATGTCATCTATAGAAAGTTGACAATTTTTTTTTTAAAGATTTTACTTATTTATTCATGAGAGACCCAGAGAGAGAGGCAGAGACACGGGCAGAGGGAGAAGCAGGCTCCATGCAGGGAGCCCGACATGGGACTCGATCCCGGGACCCCGGGGTCACCACCTGAGCCCAAGGCAGATGCTCAACCGCTGAGCCACCCAGGGACCCGAAAATTGACGATTTTAAATGTGGTTCGCACCTGTGGTTCACATTACATGCCTATTAAATTTCAGCTAAAGGTACTAAAAGGATTTGGATTGCACCAGGGCTCCTCATCCTGGGCATCACTGACATTTCAGGCCGACAACTCCGCATGCAGGGGCTGTGCTGAACGGCAGGGGTTGAAGGGCACCCCAACCTCTACCCACTGGACCCCTGAGCACCAGCCCAACCCCGGCTGTGACGACCAAAAATGTCTCCTGACTTTGCCATGTCCCTGGGCAGGGCAAAACCACTGCAGATGACAACCCGTGGGTTAGACTTAACCGTGAAATCCAGAGTGGGAATGTGGGGCCCCCTCTCTAGGGGTGCCTAGGAACACGGGAGGGTGGGCACAGTTCTGCCTAAAGGAGGGGGGTACACTTGACAAGTTCCTTTTTCTTTTTGGTCTTGGATTCGTAGGTAACATCCATCAATGGACAATCAGAGAGAAACTTTCTCCGAGTTTCCCAACAACCCATGGGATTTCTCGGCGGCTCAGAGGGGGAGAACCCACAAACAAGACCAATCACACCCGGAGAAGATTCCAATATCTGCCTCCCATCTCAGAAGCTCTTTGAGCCTCTGTAACCTTCTAGAACCAGCTTTCACTCGTGGGGGAGCGAGGGGATGCCGTACACTCTACTATGGGTTCCTCCTCCTAGTCACTCTGCATTCACAGGACCAGTTGGGGACTCCACGGCCACGCACCCACCAGCTTCCCTCCTTCCCCACTCATCCAGCCACTTGTCCATCCAAACACTATCACCCCCCGCCATTTTCCTGCCCAACCCCACCCACCCATCTTTTTTTGTTTGTTTTTTTTTAAAGATTTATTATTTGAGAGAGAGCACAAGCAACCAGGGGGAGGAGCAGAGGGGGAGGAAGAGGGACAAGCAGACTCTACACTGAGCATGGAGTCTGGCACGGGGCTCGATCCCAGGACCCTGAGATCATGACCTGAGCTGAAACCAAGAGTCAGACGCTCAACTGACTGAGCCACTCAGGTGCCCCCCCACCAATCCTCTTTAGCCACCTGCCCTATCATCCTCCCATGCACCGGGCCGCCAGCCCACCCCACCCTCCATCCACCCACCCTTCCACCCTAACCAAAGAGCAAATGCGTCGTTGCCAAGCAACTGCAATGGGCCAGCAAGTCAGGAACTGGGGGTTAACAGAACAAAGTGGGGTCCCTGCCCTAAAGACCCTACGACCTAGTGAGAAAGAGAAGCGTGTCCCCCAGTAACTCCCCCAACCAAAGCACAGAAATTGCTCTGCAGGAGGGAGAATACTTACTGCAGGCCAAGGTTATCAAGAAAGGCTCATGGAGATGCACCCAGGGCTGGGTCTCGGTGGGCAAACGGGATTTCAACAGAGGTGATGGGGGGCGGGGAGAAACTGGCAGTCCAGGCGGAAGGGAGGGCCTGAAAGCCTGAGGCCAGAGGTGGGGGTGGGGGCAGCCAGCACCCTGGGAGAAAATTTGGGTTGGAAATAGCACCCCACGAGAGTCAGCAGAAGAGCCCTCTCTGGAGCCCTCCTGCGACTCCCCCAGGGATCTCTGGGGCCTACAGATAGGAAGAGTCTCTAAAAGGCCTCTTCGTCCCTCCCAGAGTTACTGTAAGGCCGTCCCTGCGCCACTGCCAGGTGTCAAACCTGCTCGCCCAGCCTGTCCTGGCCCAGCCCTAGCCCCCCGGGCCTCTTCCCCTCCTGCACAATATCGCCCTGCAACCAAGCCCCAATTTAAGGAACAGACATGTTTCTGGGGGAAAAAAAACCACCACATGAAAACCCAGGGATTTTACCAACAGAACTGCATATGAAATGCATCTATGGGGCCTCCGAGGAAAGGTTCCTCCAGGCAGCGTCTTGTAGGCAGCCTACTCCCCCTGCCCTCACGCCCATCCCGGCCTTTCCTCTTCGCCCGTTTTCCTTCCTAGAATGAGGAGGATGAACCACACAATGGCTCCGATCTGGTTTTCTAGGTCGGACGTCACGCTGATCCGATATTCACCAAACAAATATTTTTTGAGCCCTGACTACGAGCCGGACACAGTTCCTGGGACGCAGCAGAGGAAGCTGGCAGGGCCCTTCCTGTCGTCGAGAAGCACAAATCGCAGGGGGTGGGTGTGTAGTCAGTGAGCCAGGAAATGGGTGCGTGAGCGAAAGGGTGTCAGGAAGTGACACAAGGGAGACAGAACCAGGTAAGGGGTAATGTGAGAGATGGTGCCTGGGAGGGGAGGCCTCCCGGAGAGCTCTGAGAAGGAGCCCGATCTGGGAGCAGGGGGTCCCAGGAGGAGGGCACAGCAAGGGTGAAGCCCTGGGTGCAACAGCTGGGTGTTCAGGGAAGGGGGAGGCCAAGAGCCACAGCATGGCCCACGGGGGGCTTGGACGGGGAGGAGGCCAGAGAAAAGGGCCTCGTAGACCAGGGGAAGAACCTGGGTTTTATCCAAGTGTGCTGGAGAGCCACTGGATAGTTTCACATAGAGGAGGGACCCGATAGAATGTAGGACTACTAAGATTTAATCTCTCTGGCTACTGAAGGAAGAAGAATTGAGGGGGGCAGGGGGCAGGGGGCAGGGGACACAGAGCACCTCCCATCGGGAGGCCCGGCGAGACCTCCATTGGCCTGAACCGCGGTGGTGACCGAGAGAAGGAAAGAGAGATGGATTGGGGACACATTTTGAAGACAAGAGCCGAGAAGTTGCAGACGGGCTGCATGGGGATGAGGGTGGAGACAAAGAGAAGAAACAAGGAAAACTTCCAGACGTCTGGCCTGAGCAGTTCCTGGAACTGTCAGTCAGACGGGAAGGATCGGGGAGGAAGGAGCTTGGGGAGATGTCGGCAGTGGGGGTGGGTGGGGGGAGAAAAAGCTCTGCTTCTGGCTGTTCAGGGTGAGGAGAAGACACTGGCGCAAAGGAGACCAAGGTCCTGAGTCAGAGAGACCAGAGGAACCCCGCCGGGGGGAGGAACGAGGTCGGGTCCAGGACCGTGGGCGTGGGGCCCAGGTCGGCGTAGTGAACACAGAGGCGCCTGGTCCCCCCGGGAGCGGCTCAAGGGCTGGGCCGGAGCCAGGCCAGATGAGCGAGGGGAGCATGGGAGTCAAGACCGAGGTACCCCTGAGCACCAGCAACTCTTTGGAGAAGTTTCATCAGAAGAGAAGCAAATAAAATGCGACAGTACCTAGAGCAGAATTTGGACTCAAGGAACGGCTTTTCCGTTGAGGTATAACTTACGTACAATAGACACACACGAGGTTTTGTTTTCTTCTTCAAGGAGCGCAAATGAAGGAGAGTGGAGAGGGTGTGAGGAGTCTGCAAGCAAAGCGTGACGATGTCGTGCTGCGGGAGAGGAGGGCCCACAGGGGAGGCCGGCTCTCATCTCCAGCATCCCCCGGCGCCTGGCACAGCCGAGCGCCAAGAGTGGAAGGAGCAAGTGCGACTCTCGGATGTGCAGGGCTCCCTCCTCCCTGGGGAATCACTAACCCCGGCCTTGCCCAGGAGGAGCTCCCCCAGAGCCCGGGGCTCCCCCAGAGCAGTCCGCCCACCCGTTAGGGGCCAGGCTGATGCCTCACCACTGCTCGGCTACCGCCGGCTCACGAGAGCTCATGGATTCGTGTGCTGAACGGGCGAATGAATGAATGACCGGTCTCCAGATACACGGAGCTCACGGGGGCATGTGAGGGCGTATGGGAATCACGTTTAAAGTCTGCGGTCGGGCAGCCCAGGTGGCTCAGCGGTTCAGCGCCACCTTCAGCCTGGGCCGTGATCCTGGAGCCCCGGGATCGAGTCCCGCATCGGGCTCCCTGCATGGAGCCTGCTTCTTCCTCTGCCTGTGTCTCTGTCTCTGTGTGTGTCTCTCTCTCATGAATAAATAAATAAAATCTTTAAAAAAATAATAAAATAGTCTGCGGTCAAGATCGTGGGGCCTCGATACGAGCCCTTCTCCATCAGCCTGGGAAACGCCAGCTTCAGCCGGCTTTCATAGGTTCTCTCGTTCTCCGCACTGACCCCCTCCCCCTTTGTACAGTCTGGGGCCAGCACTTGCCCTCCAAAGTTGAGGGGTCCCTCCACTGGGTAAAGTGCCCCACAAAGCCGGAAGCTCCTCTCCCCTGACCACACCCGGCTGGGCCGGGCTGGAGCCTCCAGGATTCCTCCGTCCTGAGCAACCCCGTTCCCACAGGCTCCTCTCAGCCCTGGGGGAAGCAGCTTATTTGTTTATCCTCCAGTGGGGCCATATATGGAGTATGACCTGCCAGGGCCTGGTCTCCTCGGAAATGACTCACCCCCCTCGCTCCCCAGGCCAGCACCAACCCTCAGGGGTCTTCAGGGCTGGATCGGCAGGAGGCGAGGCCCAGGTGTCCTTGAACGTCCACCAGCTTTAGGCCATGACCCCACAGTTCAGCCAAGATGACTTGGTCACTCCCCTGCTGCCCAGGAATCACGGGGCTGCCTTCAACCCCCGGTAGAACTTGACTCACTTCACCTCCACCGCCTTTACCACCACCCCACCCTGGGGAAGGAAGGTTCCTGCCAAGAACTCTTGCTTATAAGATGAGGAAACGGCTAGAACTGCAGGGGCCGGAGGAGCAAGGGTCAGGCTCCAAGAGGGACCTCAGCAGGTGCAGCTGGTGAAACCCCCATAATAAATAAATAAGCACGGGCTTTAGAACGGTGCTGCACACTCAGGAGCACGCTGGTGTTTGCTGAACACGGTAGTCAGTAAATAAGAGTCAAGACGTGAGGCTCCTAATGCGTAAGAGCTTGCCGTGAGGCCGGCACTGTTTGAAGTATTTTACAAATAACAGTGACATGAAACCTCCCGACCACCCCTGGAGGTAGGTGGCGTTAGGCCCAGTTCACAGGTGAGGAAATGGAAGGTCACGGGGGCTAATCACCATCCCAAGATAGCACAAGTAATAAAAAGAAACAAAAGAAGATTCCACCCGAGGTCAGCTTCTCAAGAGCCCATCCCCTCCACAATTCCAAGCGCCAGGACGGATGGACTCCAGGAGGGCTGCCCCAAGCCAGGGCGAGGCCCCACCTCGCCGACAGCCCAACAGCAGGGGGGGGGGGTTGGTTCAGAGGAAGCAGCAGCGGAGCCGGGGAGGGCCTCCGACCCTGTGGGACTCGCCACCCCAGGACAGGCCAGAGCTCGGGGCACGGCCTGGGCGAGAAGAGGTTTGGGGAAGCCCAGTGGTCAGCTCGCCGGCCAGAGCCGGGCCCAGGACGGAACCTGGGGCCCACCGTGTGGGAGTCCTCGTCGCTGTCACCAGCGGATGCCACAGCCCTAGGCGGCTGCCCCGCCACTCCCTCCTTGCCACCAGTCCTCTCCTCTACCTCCAGGCCTTCACTTGGCAACCACACCCCTCTCTTCGCCTCCGTGCACGGCTGCTGTGCCCCCCAGTTCTGCACTCACACAGCTGCCGGAGAGAAGTTAGATCCAAGGAAGAGCCCCCCTGCGGGAGACCTCAAAACAAGCTCGAAAAACAGACCGAGACTCAGCCGCTCTGGTCAAAGCAGGGGAGGGGTGGGAAGGCTCTCCCAGAAGCGTCTGTGGAACCCTGGGTCTCAGGGAGCAGGATCTGCGACTTTTTGAAACAAAGAACAGACAAGGGAGCCCAGCTCTGCCCGGCCGTATGACCTTGGGCCAGTCTCCGGCCCCTGCGGGACACGGGTCCCAGACTCCGCTTCTACACAGCGAGGGGTCACCGGAGTCCCTTCCAGCCCTGCCGGTCTCGGGACAGGCGTGGGGACCGGAGAGCAGCACAGGGAGGCAGGACGGCTGCCCGGCTGCCCGAGGCCCAGGCAGGGCAATGATTAACCACAGGCTGCTCAGTCCCAGGCACCCTCAGACCCGCCCCTCACCCCCTGCAGACAGGCCCAGCCCAGCCTCACCCTCACCTGGCCGGCCCCCGGGAGGAAAGGACAAGGCCGCTGACCAGGGCGCCCTGCCAGCCAGCTGCCACCCCCCCCCCCCGCCCCGGAGCCGGAGCGTCCGAACGTCTACTTCACCCCGAGGATGGGCTGCAGGCTGGCCCCCCGCTCCCCACCTGCGCCCTGCCGGGGCCTCACGGTCACACCCTCATCACTGTCCTCCCCAGCCTGGGAGACTCGGTTGACAGTGACTCACAGCCCTTTCCCTCCTGCCCGCCGAGGCTTGTCGTTCCCCGGGAGCCGAGCGGGAGCGGTCCTCCGCTCCAGGTGCCTCATCCGGACGCCTGTTGGCAGCAGCTGCGTCTGCCCACGGGGCTGTGCGGGGGCTGGGGCCGCCGGGGAGGGCAGGCCGGGGGCTCCCGTGGCAGGACTGGTTCCCCAGGGCGTTCCTGGCCCTCACCCTGGCCGTCCCGTGGGAACCCGGCCCCACCCCAGCAGCCACATGTCCACCCGAGCTGTGGACAAGCTGCGACCAGACCCGCTCTCATTTTTAAAGTTCTCCGGCCCAGCTGCCCACCCAGCACACACACCCTGGACGTACCAGGCTCGCTCTCAGACACAAGGTCACACGCGTCCCACCGGCCTGTGAGCTCCTGACCACGGAGTGTGTGGTTTGCATTTTTCTCCCAATGCCCCCCACGGAGGGCTTCAATAAACACTCACAGCAAACATCCTCGGCCTCCCACGGCCCAGACTCAGCAACGTAAGAACCTGCCACCCACACAGGCCACAAACGCGCTCACCCGCACATACACCCGCACACACATGTAAACACACATCCACGGGCGCGGATATGCCCACACCTACGAGCAAACACACTCCCATGTCAACCCCTCCTGCACACACCGATCCACATGCAGAGTCCAAGGTCTGGACCCCCGGCGCCACCCTCAGCGCAGACCTTCCCTGGGGTGTGTCCGGCCTCCCTGGCAGCCCAGGTTCCTTCTTCCAGGGCACCAAGTTCCTTCCATCCTTGGGGCTTACTTTATCCCCTCTAGAGCCCCTGGGCCCCCCATGGGGGAGACCAGGCAGCCGTGCCTCAGAGCAGAGTGAGGTCCTAAGGGTCTGAGGAGGTGCCCCCCCACCCCCCCGGGGCCGGGAGGATGAGACTGAGACACTGGAGGAGCTCCAGAGCCCTTCTGGAGGGAGCGGGGGAGATCCTAGAGCCCCGGAGAATGCCTGAAAGCCGCCCTGATGGGGAAGGCCTGGGGAGGGTGCCACTGCGCCGCCCGCCCGCCCGTGGAGAGCACCCGGGCCTCCAAATGCCCACCTGCAAGGGGCGAAAAGGACAATCTCTACTTGGCTTAACCCTGGGGCTCAAAGGAGCAGGAATCCGGCCCTGAGCTACCGCGCGGGCCTCAGTTTCTTGGAGGGCAAAATGGGCGTATATGGCAGGGACGGTGGGGGATGAGGAGATGAAGATGCTCCCCGGAACACACACGTCTGAGGGGAGGTGCGGGTAGCTCCAGGAGGAGTCCCCGGGGGCCACCAGCCACCTGGGGGTGCTACCTCCAGGACAGTCCCCCCACACCCCAGGCTCCTCCAACCCTGACAGGATGTCCAGCGGCGGGGATAAGACGCCCAGGGTCCCGACCCTTTGACAGACCAGCCTACAAGCAGACTGAAGCAGGGGGGTGGGGGTGGGGGTGGGGGGTCAGCAGCCGCCCTGCGGTCGCCCAGCCCAGACGCTGCCCTCAGTGGGAGCCCCCTTCCTGGGAGGGGGGCCTGTTGCCCAACGGCCCCTATTCAGTGACCCCTGTTGCGACCCCACCCCGGGGAGCCCGCACCCCTGCTCCTCCCCAGAGGGGCTGAGCCCCCCCCCCCCCGTCTCCAGCCGCCAGTGTGGCGGGGGGGGGGGCTCCCCTCGGGCCGCGGCCGCAGCGCTGCCCCCACCCCTCCCCGTCCCCCACCCCTCCCCCACCCCTCCCCCACCCCTCCCCCCGCAGGCCCCTCCGGCCGCCGCCCAGCACCGCGGGGGCCTCCGTGCGAGCCCCGGGGAGGGGGGAGGGACAGGCGGGGCGCTCACCTGGACAGCGCCGACCAGGCCTTCCTGCCGCCAGCCATGCCGCCGCCGCCCGCGCCGCACCTGCGCGCCCTCCCCGCCGCCAGGTGGGCTCGCGGCCCCGCCCCGCCCCGCCCCGCCCCGCCCCGCCCCCTCCGGGAGGGGTCCCCGCCCACCAGCGCGGCCCGGGCGGACGGACCGACGGACGGGGCGGCGCGGGGTCGCGGGCGAGGGCGGGGCACTTCCTGCTCCAACCCGTCGGACCAGCTCGGCGCCGCCTCCTCGGGCAGGGGTGGGGGAGCGAGCTCCGGGGCCGCCCACCTGGGCCCAGAAGGTCGGAGCGCCGGACCTGGCACCCCCACCCTGGGCCTGGGCACCCCTGACGGCTGGGCCCCCCACCCCAGGCCTGGGCACCCTTGATGGCTGGGCACCCCCACAGCTGGGCACTCCCAACCCAAGCCTGGGCACCCCGACAGCTGGGCACCCCCACCCTGAGCCTGGACACCCCCACCCTGGGCACCCCCCACCCTGGGCCTGGGCACCCCTGACGGCTGGGCCCCCCACCCCAGGCCTGGGCACCCTTGATGGCTGGGCACCCCCGCAGCTGGGCACTCCCAACCCAAGCCTGGGCACCCCGACAGCTGGGCACCCCCACCCTGAGCCTGGGCACCCCTGATGGCTGGCCCCCCACCCCAGGCCTGGACACCCTTGATGGCTGGGTATCCCCATCCCGGGCTCAGACACCCCCAACAGCTGGGCACCCCACCCCAGGCCTGGGCACCCTTGATGGCTGGGCACCCCCACCTCGGGCCTGAGCACCCCCACAGCTGGGCACCCCCACCCTGAGCCTGGGCACCCCCAATGGCTGGGCACCCTGGTCAGCTAGGCACCACCAACAGCTGGGCACCCCCGCCCCGAGCCTGGACACCCCAGGCCTGGGCACCCCCACCCTGGGCCTGGGCACCCCTGATGGCTGGGCCCCCCCACCCCGGGGCTGGGCACACTCGATGACTGGGTACCCCCATCCCAGGCCTGGACACCCCTAACAGCTGGGCACCCCCGCCCCGGGCCTGGGCTCCCCAACAGGATTCCTAGATTCCACTCAGCACATATGAACCCCAGGATGTCAAAGGCGCTGTCCTCACTCTGGATACTGGCTAGGGGCTGCCCGACAGGCGGGTGAGGGCCCAGGAGGCTCAGCTTTGGGAGAAGTACACACAGCGGGGGGGGGGGGGCGCTTAAGGCAGCTCAGGCACCCACAGCCCCACCTGGCTCCCGCGGTGTCCCCAGGGCGAGCAGCGGGGCCCAGGTGCTGTGTCCCTGGGAACCAGCTTCAGGTGGGTGAGTCGCGGCCCATTCCTGAGCCCAGAGAATCTTATCTCCCCTCATGGGTCAGAACTACAAGGTCAGCCGCAGCTCCTGCTCTGAGAGGGGTGAGACGGGTGAGAGGCAGCCCTGGGGTGAGGTGCTCCCCACCTGCCCCCCCTTGTCGCTGGTCCAGGACTGACGGGCTCCCCCCCAACCCCTGTGCCCTCCAGCTCTGAGAGCTCACAGCTGCAGAGCGGAAGCCTGGAAATCCAGGCACAGGGCTAAGGCAACTCCATCCCCAAACGCCCCCTCCTCCAGGGAGCCTTCCTTCTTGCCATAGGAGGTGAGGCGGGAGGTTTGAGGCACGAGAGCTGGACTGGGAGCCTGGAGATCTGGCTTCGAGCTTGGATTCTGCTGTTTACGAGCCACGTGACTTGGGACAAATCACGTTCGTTTCCTCCTCTGTGTAGTGGCAATCGTGATACTTCGGCTCCCAGGTTGTGGGGATCCATCGAGTCAATCACGGAGCGTTGGCGGCACGGGGGTGAGCAGTGTTAAGGGTGACAAAGTCCCAGAGGGTTTTGGACAGAAGCCAAGGCGGGACCTGGAGCCATCTGCTCTTCCACGGGAGGAACAAGAGGGCAGGATACTAATCTGTGTCCCTGGATGCTTCCCGGGAGCCAGCTCTCTCCCTGGGGCCCGGGGGAATGTTCTTTCCAAGACTGGTCAGTAGTGGCACCTCACCCTAGGAAGAAAAAAACACGCCCAGCCATGTGAAGCCTTCAGGGACACCTCGTGAAGCCAGGGCACAGGCAGGTGTCTGCAAATCCACAATCAGGCACCTTCTCTGTGGATATAAAAGCCCAAAGGCCGCAAGTTGGTTTGCAGATGACTCGAGAAATAGGGAAACGTAAATGAGGTACGTGCTAAAGCCCCGAGAGTTCCTTGAGGGCAGGCACTGTGGGCTTACCAGGCATTTTCTATGCGCCAGGTGCTGTGCCTGGTGGCTGTTCCTGGGGCGGCTGTAGGAGGCCCCACAAATTAAGCGGCTTCAGTCGACAGAGATTCGTTTTCTCACAGTCCCGGAGGGTGGAAGCCCAAGACCAGGCCGTTGGCAGGGACAGGCCGCGTCCACGGGCTCCAGGGGAGCCTCGCTCCTTGCTTCTTCCTGGCTCGGGTGGTCGCCGGCGATTCCCGGGGTTGCTTGGCCGACAGCTGGGTTATTCCGATCTCCGCCTCTCTGGTCGCAAGGAATTCTCCGCGTCCCCGTGTCTGTGTCCCCCTCTTGTCACAAAGGCATCAGTCATTAGGTGAGGGCGCACGGAATGCAGCAGGCGTGGAGCCCTTTCACCTCGATGACATCCGCAGAGACCTTATTTGCCCGTAAGGTCACACTCTTAGCTGCCAGGGGTTGAGGGTTAAACAGATCTTTTGGGGGCCCCACGAGCAGCAGGTGGCTCTGACTCCGGGGACACGAAAGCGGTCCAGCCGCAGACCGACCTCCCCGCTCTGGCAATGGAGACGCAGGCCCGAGCCTCACTGCAGAACGGGCTGCGATGAAAACCGAAATCGTGTCCTCGGGAGGGGTTGACTCTGACGGAGGGATGGGCAAGGCTGACACAGGAACGAACGTCCGGGTCGGGCTGCGGGGGTCAAGTGTCCGGAGAGGCCGCGGAGCGGACGCAGCAGGGCGAGGCAGGGGCAGACGTGCAGGCGGTTCCGGAGCCGAGAGGACGGGCGTGCCCGGGGAGGAGCACCTGCCGGAGCAGGGAAGGCGGCCGGGCCTCTGCGCGGGGCTCCGGGGGCCCCTCCGACCCTACAATGTGCGGAGCTTGAGGCAAAGGCGAGGGGCGGGGGCCTCGGAACGGGGAAGGTCGTGGACCCTGCGAGCGGACCGGGGAGGCCGTAGGCCGGGGGTCAGATCGGAGGTGGGAGACCACGCGAGGGGGCTGCTTGGGACAGACCACGGGAGAAACGGAGGGAGCGGGCCGGGCCGGGAGCGGGAGGCAGAGGCGATCCAGCCGCCACAGGGGACACACGCCCTGCCGCGTCCCCCTAGCCTGCGGGGCAGGGGCCCCGGACGACACGGGGATGCGGGAGGACGAGGAGGAGGGGGCCTGGGGGGACGGGGACGTACACCACTGGGGTTCTTCATCCTCAGCATCATGGGCCTCGTGGCCCGACAGCGCTTTGCCGTGGGGCCGTCCGTGCGCGGGGAGGCATCCGCCGCAGGCCTGGCCGCGGTCCTGGCTCTGAAGGTCCCTGAGGAAAGCCAGGGGAGCTGCCCGGCACACGCGGGCTGTGGGAGAGGGGTGCTCACAGGCAGCTTGGCCTGCGTGGACCACACAGCCGGCGGAGGCCGGGGGAGGGGCGGCCCCAGACCAGCCGGGGAGCGGGACGGAACCGCTGGAGATGTCTGCGCCCCCACGCTGGCTCCCCAGGCTTCTCGTGAGCGTCCCCAGAGCCCACGCCTTAGTCGCTCAGTAGCCCCTCAACTCTATGCCGGGTGTAGTAGGTGCTCAATAAAGGCTTGGAGAACTGCCTTAACTTGCTTTGGGAAGAGCAGGAAACCCCGAATTGGCCAAAAAGCCCGCTGAGTGCACCATTGGGAGCTGGGTCGGGGAGAAGCCGGGCGGGGGCGGGGGGCTGAGCATCCCGCGGCCTCCTGGACATGGCAAAACCGGGAGACGAGCATCGCAACCGGCAGCGTTGCTGGAGGCGGTGTCCGAGGTACGACCTAGCCAAGGTGAAGGTGAGCGTGCTTGACGGCCCAGCACTCGCTCCCCCGGGGAGACACGCTCCGGAGCAGGAGCAGCAGAAGAGAAGCAGGACGGTTCACGGTAGCAAGATTCTGGAAACCACCTCGGTGTCCGTCAACAGGAAAACGGATGCGAAAGTGATGACGGTCCTCCTGTCACGTCACAGCAGGAGTATGGACAGCGGTGGATTTTCCCACCTTCCCCTCGAAGGGGAAAAAGCAGGAAGCATGCATTTGTGTGAGTTTAACCAAAACCACGCAGAGGCAGACGGTGTCTTGCTGAGGAGCTCGTAAACGCGGGGCAGCGCGGTCAGGAGGACCAAGAGAACCCGGAGCCCGGAGCCCAGCATCCTGTTCGCCTTCGTGCCTTTGAAAGCCTTTGCAGCGCCCTGGTGCTTAACACGCGTGGCTGGCAGGCGGTCGTGCATCCTACGGCTCTTCAGCTGTACGTGCGTGAAAAACCACAAGCGTGTGCTGGGCACTTCCTCGGAGGAGGATCGGCCGGGATAGGGCTCACCAGGCGGGGAGGTCCGGGAGGCCGCAGCCGGCACTGGGGGAAGGGGTCCCCGCGTTCCTCCCGCCCAGAACTGAGGGCTCCGGGATCCCCTCCCCACCCCTGCCTACACAGCTCAGAGGTCAGCTTCTCCTTCTCCAGGGAGGCCTCGGTGGGGACCCAGGGGGACTCCTGGCCCAACGCGCACAGGTCTGTAAGTCGCACCCTGACATTTCAGGCTTATTCCCACCCGTGGGCACCCACTGAGCAGCTGCCTCCCAACCAGGCCAGTCTCAGGGGAGGCCGAAAACAAATAAATGAGGTAATCATGCTCATACCCTAAAAAATCCAGGGCAGGGGGTTCCCTGGCTTTGGGTTTTTACAAACTAATAATATTTCTTTTTTTAAAGATGTTATTTATTTATTCATGAGAATACACAGAGAGGAGAGAGAGAGGGGCAGAGACACAGGCAGAGGGAGAAGCAGGCTCCACACAGGGAGCCCGACGTGGGACTCGATCCCGGGTCCCCAGGATCAGCCCTGGGCTGAAGGCGGCGCTAAACCGCTGAGCCCTCCGGGCTGCCCTAATAACATTTCTTAAATACGAATACCCGAATGGTGTTGCCACCATGTCATTTTGCAAAATAAGAACATTAAAAAAAAAAAAAAAAGCAAAACCCACCTACCATCCTCCCCCTCTGTAAGTCAATATTTTAATACTAAAAATCATGAACTTGGGCGGGGGGGTGGGGGTGACTGGGTGATGGGCACTGAGGGGGGCACTTGACGGGATGAGCACTGGGTGTTATTCTATATGTTGGCAAATTAACAGCAATAAAAAATAAATTTATAATAAAAAAATAAATAAAATCATGAACTTCAGGCATGCATACTTTTAGAACAAAGGAGAGCCCTCATCACGGAGTCCATTTGGCTTCATGGAAACTTCCACGCCGCGGCCCTGACTTCCTCACCACGCAGTGGGGCAGCTGAAATTCGGGTCGCCAAGAGCTGACGAGCAGAACCGCGTCTGGGAAGCGTCCACCCCATGCGGGGACAGGCACGCCGCCGCATACCAGCTCCCCTTCCTCCGAGCAGCCCCGAGCACTCACAAACACGCACTCCTCCGCTGGGGGGCTCCGAGGTTGGAAACCCCCGCACCCAGGTGAGGCCATACTTCTCACCCAAACCTGCAGCAGAGGTTAACCCCCCGCCCCCCTGCCCTGGTCTGTGCTGAGCAGCGAGCGAGGCAGATGTTGGCCCTGGAGCCAGAGCCCGAGAGGTGCACCCACCACCTGCGCGGGTCACCAGGCCGCTGCTTCCCGCTGCGATACCAAAGCTGTACCCACATCTAGCTTTCTCAGGAGACTGGGGGTCCAGGGAACCTGTGTTTCCATCCCAGTTATGTCTGTGACCTTGAACAAGTCACTGCCCCTCTGCGGGCCTGCAGGCGTCGCCCGCAGTTCTCTGTGCCAGCGCCACGGGCTTGTGGGGACACACGCTGCTCAGCCTCGGGGGACCCACGGGCGGCTTAGGGGTGTGTCTTGGGAGTGAGAGAATGTCCTTGATCCTCGGCTCCAGTGAAGGAGCCTCGGGCTGGCCCGCGCGGGGGGATCCTGGAGAGGACGGCCCTGATGCGGGCGGGAGAGGAGGCTGCCGTCCGCGCTGGTCCCAGCAGGCTGTCCCAGTGTTCTGTAGCTTGGTCACCCACCTGGAACGAAACTGCCCCCCTGGCTGCCCAACCCAGATCCCTGCGGGGAGTCTGACTCACTTCGCGGGGGGCCTCTGGGGCTAATGTTTAACTGGGCCGCTCCCTCAGCAGGGCACTTTAGCCTGGGCCGTCCTGGGCCCCGGACGCTGGGCCTGACCCGAGTGCCCTGCTGGCCGTGGGCTCCAGACAGACAGGGGGCCCAGCCTCGGGTCCCGATGTGGACAGGGACCTCGTGGGGAGGGAGAGGCAGCAGCTGTGACCCAAGGGCTCTGGGACAGGTGGGGCGGGGTAGCATTGTGCCCTGGTCGTTCCTACCAAGGACGGAGGAGCACCTGGTCCCTCTCCAGCTGCACAGGAGATGCTTCCCCGGCTTTGCCACAGGCGTCCCCCCAGAAGCCCCCCATCCTCCACCCCCAGCTCTGGCCCTAGTGTTGGGGGGGAAGACAAAACCCTTGCACAGTTGGTGGCATTTGCTTCTCAGTTGACTATCTTTCCCCTCGCTGGGGTTACTGGAACTCCTCAGGTGCATATGCGGGGCTCCTGGCGCCCGGTGGTGTCCCTTCTGGAAAGCGGCTGGTTGGGCTCTCGTGGCAAATCTGGCCCCAGGAAAGGACAGCCCCAAAGGCAGGTTGGCCTAGGTCCCGACTGATGATGTGCAGCTATCAAACCCTGTAACTCAGGGTGGATTCCCTCACCTTGCCCAGCTGCCCAGCCTCTGGGTCCTCGTGCAGCCATCCAAGATAAGGGTATCTACTTCTTGGGGCGCCGGGGTGGCTCAGGCAGCTGAGTGGCTGACTTGGTTTCAGTTTCTGGTCAGGACATAATCTCAGGGACCTGGGATTGAGCCTCCACCCCCACCCCATCCCCACCAGATAGGGGCTTCATGTTCAGCCCAGCATGGAGTCGGCTTGGGGATTCGTTCTATTTTTTTTTTAAGATTTTATTTATTTATTCCTGAGAGACACAGAGAGGGAGGCAGAGACATTGGTAGAAGGAGAAGCAGGCTCCATGCAGGGAGCCCGACATGGGACTCGATCCCGGGTTTCCAGGATCACGCCCTGGGCTGCAGGCAGACGCCCCAGGAATCGTACCCTGTTGTGAAGGTTCAGTGTGAAGGTGTGTGGGGTCAACGTGCTGTAAGCGGGAGCTGCTCTGGGCCCCGGGGAAGCCCGGCTCCGGCCCCGCTCTCCGTGCATCGTGCATCGGGTCCGGGGTCAGCTCTCGGCCGAGCATGCCTCCCCCGGCCCCTCCCGAGGTCGCTCTCCCACCCCGAGCAGCTGCCCCAGGGAGCAGCTGGCACTGCACTTTGTACTCAGCTTCTGGTGCTTATGGCCAGTCATACGCTGGGAGCAGAGGGCAGGCCAGGGACTCGGGCGGGAGGAAGGGGGACTCCTCAGGGGGCCCAGCCTCTCCTGGGGCCAGCGTCCAGGTGAAAGAGTCAAAGGGCCCTGGTTTTGGAGGCTCAGTTCCGGCGTCGCCAGGCGTTGCCTCCCCTCCCCACCCCACCCCCCGCCAGAACTTCGGTGTCCACCCCGCGGAGCCTCTCCCGGGGGCCTGTGGGAGGGCAGGCAGGGAGGGCGGCTGCCCCTTCCCACATTGCACCCCAGCAGGCTCACAGCCCTCCCCAGGCGTTGGGTCCAGATTATCAGTGGGATGGAGCAAGGACCTGACCTAGAGGACAGATCCCTGGCCGGCCCCACCTTGAGACGAGTGGATGGAGGATGTGACCAGCAGTGTGGGGAGAAAATGGTTGGGAGGAGGGAGCGTGAATGAAGGTGGAGAGGGCAGGGGTCAGGACGGGTGAGCCCAGGGGCGGCGATGGGGAAAGGAGCCACCTGGTGGCCAGACACACAAGCACAAGGTGTCCCTGGGGCCGGGCCAGGGAGGCAGAGGACCAGGTGAGGGGCGGAAGGGACGTCTAGAACAGTCAGGAACATCCAGCAGCTGCCAGGGAGCGGTGGTCCAGGTTGTCAGAGAAAGGGGACTGGGACAGCAGGCGCGACGAGGGGCTCTGAGTAGAGAGGCCCACCTTGATGGTTGGGGTCGCTGGGAGGGCTGGGCTGTTCCAGAGGTTAGGCCTGGGGTCGTCTGAGCGTCCTGGGTGGTGACGGGTGATGTCGTATCATCACACTGGGACTGGGCGGCAGGGGCCCGGGGGACCTTGGCAGGCAGCTGCCAGTCCTTAGACCTCCTTCGGCCCCTGAGCTCCTGCCTGGAGCCGGCGCATCCGTCCCTCCGGACCCCCTCCCTTCTGAGCACTCACACGGTGCAGACATGACCGGCACAGAGGGACAGAGGTGACCAGGAGCCTGGATTTTAATGGAGAAGCTGGGATGCCCGGAGTGGGGGCACTCTACAGGTCAGAGAAGCAGTGGAGGGATGCAGCTCGGGGCCAGAGGGAAGGCGCTCTCACACCCCTTCCCCCTCAGCCTGGCGTCTACACCCCGCTAGGGCGAGGTCTTCAGACACGGGGGTTTGTCCTCTCGGGTGTCTGTTCAGTCCCAGTTCCAGAGGAGGGCGCTCAGGCCGGAGGGGAGAGGCGAGGGCAGGAGGGGGTGCCTCGGAGGGGCAGGGTGGGGTGCAGAGAGGCAGGTGAGCCGGGCTGGAGGGAGGAGCGAGACGCGGAAGCCCAGAGCGCGGGGCGGCCGGGCGGCCTGTGGGACAGAGGCAGACGCCGGGTTACAGCTTTACCGGTAGGACACAGAGCCCTGGGGCCTGGGCCGGCCGCCAGCCGGGGGGCTCCCAGGATACCCCAGCTTCTCAGCCAGGCCCGGGCTCCCTCGGCTCCCCTTTCTGAAGCCCTGCCCCTGCTCCCCACTAATCCGCCCCCTGTGCCCTCGGCCTTGCAGGCCTTGCCCTGCGTCTGCTAGCCCCTGCCCATCGCTTCCTCAGAGGAAAGCTCCGGAAAGCCTGCGGTGCCAGCCCTCGGCCCTCTCCCCGTCACCTCGCACCTCCCCCGGAGCGACAGTGGGGCTTTTCTGCGCCCTACACTTGCTGCTCTCTCCAGCAGTTTCCTCAGAGAGGGGGTGGTCTCGTCTTCTCTGGACGGACCCCCCCCCCCCCGCCGCCTGCCGGGGCCCGGGGACTCCGAGTTTGGGGTCCTTTGCCAGGAGGTATTTTTAAAAGCTTCGACTTTCCCAAAAGTCAGAGCCGGAGGGCCCTCAGGGCTCTCCAACCCGGGTGCTCCCAAGGTCCTGCAGGAGGGACCCCGGGGCAGGCCCCACCCCACAGTCGGGATCGAATCGCTCCAGGGCAAAGCCGGAGCGTTTGCAGGTGGAACGGATAGGCCGGACGGGGACGCCCTTGGAGAACGCTCCCTGCTGGACCCCCAGTGCTGCGGACGGGGAGCCGGGAGCGCCCCGAAGCAGGAACCACGCACCCAAGGTGTCGGGGTGCTGGAGCCAGGGCGGGCTGCCTCAGTGCCCCCCGCTGGGCCCATCGTCCCGGATCCCCCGTGAGCTGTTGGATTCTGGTGGGCCCCCCCAGAAGAGAGCTGGTCTCTAGCTACCTCTACTGCGAGGTCGGAGACTTGGCGGCGTCGAACATCTTCTTCCGGCCCTCCATCCCGGACATGGCCTCCACGTTCTTCCTCCAGTCCCCCACCTCCACGGGGCGTTCCTACGGGCGGGCCCCCCAACACGCGTCAGAGACCAGAGGGCAGCTGGGCCCCCCCATCACAAGAGAAATTTGCTGATGCAAAGTCAGCCTCTTGGAAAAGAGGAAATCCCGACACGCCGGCCCACGGTGGGGCCCAAGGACGCATGGGGGGGGGACTCGGGGAGGCTGAGGCTGCACGGGAAGAGGGGAGCCTGTCAGCTGGGCGCCCCGGCCTCCAGACCCAGGCCACCGCCTGCTCGGGCCCGAGGCCGGCTCAGGGCCACCTCTTCTGAGCAGCCTGCCTCCTCCCGACCTGGCCGGCTCTGCCTTTGACCAGCGGACTCGCGGCCTTGGGTTGTCTTCACACGCACGGCCCCAGCGCGGGCCCTCTGGAGCCCGACCCTCCCGAGCACGCGGCCGCGGCCCATCCGTTCCAGGGATTTGTTGCTGAATCTCTAATTTCTGTGCTCAGTGTCCTGTGACCACCATGATGTGCTGTCTTTCCGCCCCCGTGGGGACAGACGGGGGTCACCCTGGTCGCCCCGTCGCCCTAACTCCGCATCCTCTTGCACTGGCTACACTTTCTACCTTGTTGCTCGCTCGGGCTTCCTCTGCGTCCTACTTTCCTCCTCGGATGGCGAGCAGCCTGAGGGAGGGGAGCGAGTCTTCTTTCTCCCAAAACAGAATCACGAGACTTCATCCCTGGGCTCCCAGAGAGCTCCAGAATGTTCTAACAGGCCGCCTGGCCGCCAGCGGGAGCTCCTGCCCGAGGCCATGTGACGGAGTAACAGGGGAAGCTGAGGGGACAGGGGCCGAAAGGTTGAGGAGAGGAGTCCTCACCTTCTCTGTGTCCTCCTTCTTCACGGACTTCAGGTTGGCCCGCAGGTCCATAGACACCTTGTGCTTCGAGCCCAGGAGGGCCCTGAGCATGGCGTCAGCCGAGACCCGGACCCGGCGCAGCGGCGGGCGCTTGAACTTCCCACGGAGGTCCAGCACCTTCAGCTTCAGGTCCTTAATCTGCAGGTGGGAGGGAGCGAGGCTCCGTGGACAGAGAGCACCCGAGGGCCCCCTCCCTGAGGGTCTCGGACCTCTAGAGTTCAGCCAAAGCTACACCCCGACCTCGCCAGCTTCCCGGCCAGGCCCTCCGTGACACTCAGACCGGCCCCTCACTTCTGGAATCCCCACGACGTGCTTGTTGATGAATGAGTTGGGGCGCGGGGGGGGGGGGGGCTCAGACGGCCAGGCCTTGGGCTCAGGTCATGATCCTGGGGTCCTGGGATGGAGCCTGGTGTCAGGCTCCCTGCTCAGCGGGGAACCTGCTCTCCCTCTGCCCCTCCCCCTGCTTGTGCTCGCTCACAAGCTCTCTCTCAAATGAATAAATCTCTTTTTAAAAATGAACGAATGGGGCAGCCCGGGGGGCTCAGCAGTTTAGAGCCACCTTCAGCCCAGGGTATGATCCTGGAGACCCGGGATCGAGTCCCACATCAGGCTCCCTGGATGGAGCCTGCTTCTCCCTCTGCCTGTGTCTCTGCCTCTCTCTGTGTCTCTCATGAATAAATAAAATCTTAAAAAAAAAAAAAGAGCAAATGAGTAAATGGACAGATGGAGCCCATCAGCCATCCCTGTCACGGTCACGTGAATAGACGGGGCAGCTCCACCAACTCAGCACAAGTCCAGTCTGGTTCAGAAGCTGGGGCTGGGTGTGGGCCGCTCCTCCCCGTCCTACGGCCCCATTCCTGCCTCTAGCTAGTTCCTCCCCGTGAGCCCGCACAGCAGTTCACGGAGGGCGTGGGTCTAGTAGCGTGGATGAGCCCCCAGGCACTAGGCCCTGCGGGGAGTTCCGGGGTGCTATCTCTGGACAGAATCCTGGGGAGATTGGTGACGCCCCAAATCATTGTCGGTGCTGGGAGAAAGGGGAAGGAAGGAAGAGCCCTCTGATCCGCCCTCCCCCTCCTGCTGCTTGAACAAGTACCAGGCACAGCCCCCTCGAGCGGCAGGGGGACAGAGCACACACCCCACGCCCACACCCACACCGGGGGCCGCAGCCACCACTGGGTGACCTGGACCGACGTTCTCAGCCTTTGAACCCCAGCGCCCTCCTTTGTAAGGTGCAGATGAAGGTGCTGCATCATCCACAGGCGTGGAGGGAGGATCAAAGGGGCAAGGACATGAAAGCCAGGGACAAAGGGAAGTTGTCACTAGCGAGAGCGCGTGAGTGTGTGGGTGAACAAGGGCGGCAGCTCCCCTGCGACTGAGGAGCCCGTGGGTCGGGCCGGGGGCAAGTGTGTGCTTCTCAGCTGTGTGATTATCCTCTTCCTGCCCCGGGGGCTGGAGTGGGGGACCCAGAGCTTCCCAAGTGGCCACTTGCCAAACCCTGCAGAAGGACGGGGTCCTAGCCTGGGTGGCAGCGGGTGATCCCCCCCACGGCCCCCTGTGCCCCCGCCCCAGCCAGCGCCAGCCCCTCCGGTCCGGCGAGCTCACCTCCCTGGTGTTGTGCAGGCATTTGGCCTCAATGTCGTATCTCTCCTCATCCACCACCTCCACCTTGGCGTGCAGGTCCCGGCACAGGTCCTGGGGGAAGCAGAGGTCGATCAGACAAGGACAGAAAGAGGGGAGGGACCAGCAGCGCTTTCCTGCCTCCATGGCCAGCGCCCTTGCAAGGTCTGCATTCTGGACCCCTGGGGTGCACGGCTGCTGATAGCTCTTCACGCAGTTTTCTTGCAATAAAAATGACATAAGTGAATTGTAGCAAGTGTGAAAGCTATGCACTAAACAAAAAGAATAAGATACAGGCTACGAGTGATGCCTCCAGGGGGAGGTGACCATTGGTGACATTGCGGTGCATTTCCTTCCAGTCTCTTTTCTCCACAGTCGGCGGCACTTGAACAGTTATCGGGGTTTTACAGACATTAAAAACCGATTTGGAAGGGGAAGGACGGACAAGTCCTGGGGCTCCCTTCCTGCCCTTGTGAAATGGGATCCCCCAGCACCGCCTCCAGGGGCCCTGAGATGGGGATGAGCCACTTGTTAGCACAAGCTCCTGCTCCCCCCCACCCCCCACCCCCACCCCGGGGCCCTGGTGACAGCCCCGCAGACTCACCTGCAGGGCGCTGAGGGACAGGCCGCGGGTCTGCAGCGTGGGGATGCGCTCGGCCAGGTAGCGGGCCTTCTCAGCCTCCCGCTCCTCGTGCTCCTGCTCCCAGCACTCCTTGGCCTTGGCCAGCATCAGGCTCTGGGCGGGACAGAGCCTGCTGAGCCAGGGGCCCAGGGCCCTCAGGTCCCCACCCAGCATCAGGCAGGCGGCAAGGAGGACCCCAGGCTGGCACCGGCCTTGCCTCCGGCTCTACAAGCAGCGTGTTCCTGTACTGGTCGTACTGGTTGGGGCCCAGGCCAGGCCGCCCAGGAGCCAGCGGATGAGATGGTCGCAGGGTGATGGGGGCGGTGGCCAGGCAGGGCCGCGGGAGAGCAAACACGGGGCGCCCACACACAGGACCGCCGGGCCCGGGGGCCTGCTCACCCTCACAGTCTTTCTCTTACCCACTCCTGGCCTGTTTGGGCCCATGGAGCCCCAAAGAGAGAAACTCTTGCCAAAATAAAGCAAGGCCCTCTGGCTGTCACCAGTGGATTGGCCCCTGAAGCTGGTCGCTGCCTCCACCCGGCGGGAACCTGGGCAGGAGCCGGGGCTCCAGCGTCAGGCTCCCGCTCACTGACCACCTGGCTCCAGGTGAGGCCAGCCTCCCTCTGCCTCCCCCTCCCCCTCCTCCCCTTCCTCCTCCTGCTGTGGCCTCCTTCCTTTTTACCTTGCTCCAAGCCTCCGCACCCCCACAGACTGCTCCGCACCCCCCCAAGTCTCCCCCTGGATGTCCCCCCAGAGCCAGCACAAGGCCTCACCTTCAGCAGGAGTTTCCGGGAGGCCGTGATCTTGGGCTTTCTCTGCGGGTGAGAAGGGGACAGACGGGTGGTGAGGGAGAGGCTGCACCCCTGGAAATCTGGTGGAGGCCAGCACGCGTGCCTGCCCGGTTCACCATCACTACCCAGAACCCTCGCCACAGGGTCCCCTCAAGGGCCCCTCGTCTTTGTGATTTACCCCCTCAAGTTCGGGGGATGCTGCTGGAGTCGGCGACCTTGACCTTGACCTAGAGGCTGAGGCCCTCACTTTTCAATCCTGGTTCTAGTGCTGGGGGGGGGGGGGGTCCTGTGTGGGTCACATGACTTCTATGGGCGCCTCCCTTCCTCGTCCATAAACAAGGATGCTGCTGCCACCCACCGTCCTCAGTTCCCAGAGTTCCTACACACAGAATGACATCATGTGACATCACGGACACGCAAACGCTTTGGGAGGCACAGTTAGCGCCCGGCAGTCGCGGCCAGCACCCGGGTGACCCGCCTTGCACAGAAGCCCTGAATTTCATACACGAAGAAGTTTACCCTTTTAGGCATCGCAACTTTCTTTTCTTTTCTTTTTTTTTTAACGTCGACACCGTCCATATTACTCTTTCTCAGGTTTAAAGACATTGCTTTCTCTTGAAAATGAGTGAAAATATCAGTGAGGGTGACAAAACATGAGAGGCTCCTGACTCTGGGAAACGAACTATGGGTGGTGGAAGGGGAGGTGGGCGGGGGGTGGGGGTGACTGGGTGACGGGCACTGAGGGGGGCACTTGGCGGGAGGAGCACTGGGTGTTATGCGATGTGTTGGCAAATTGAATTCTAATTTAAAAAAATTTTTTTAATTAAAAAAGGGGAAAAATCATTGTTTTCTCTTCCTACTAAAAAATCCCCGGCAAAATAAATAAATAAATAAATAAATAAATAAATAAATAAGAATGAATGAGTGAGTAAATAAATAAATAAATAAAGTAAAAATCCCCGACATATTCCAGCCAACTAGACAGGCGCAGCCGTGTCCCCTCAGGGGAGGGGATAGGGAGGGTGCTCACCCCCTCACCCGCAAGGCTGAGAGGCCTTCTGAGCACCCGTTGCTCTTCGGGACCCAAGGCTGGCACTTTGGTGGCGGCCAGCGAGCGGCCACCTCGGGGACGTGGCGTGCGGGGGCGTCGCCCCGGTGGCTACTCTAGTGTGAAAGCAGAAGCCAATGGCCTTTAAGGGAGGAAAGGGGGGAATGAATGGGCTTCCTGTTGTAGGCACAGAACGTGGGACTCCCAGTCCGACCCTTCAGGGTGGTTGCTTCGTCCTTCCGCCTCCCAAAGTGAGGTCCGGGCTACATCAGCCCAGCGTGCTTGCGGGAGAACCGGCCTGCCTCCAGAATCACTGCTGTCACCGGGGACGCCCCGTCGCCCACCCGCGGCAACGTCGTTTCCTCACCGCTCGGTGAGCTCAGAGGCCACCTCGTCTGACTACCCATCAGTGGCAACTCAGTTTCCTACAGGACTATGGAAAAGTGGGGCGTTCGATTGTAACTGGGAATCCCTGCGCCGGTCCCCGTCCAGCACGGCTGCTAATCCCCACCCTTGCCAGTTCAGAGTCCACAGCCCTGTCCCTGCAGCTCCTCAGCCCGGGGGTGCAGAGGCTCTGCTCTCAGTAACCCGAATAAATCTGGGTTGTCGTAGGGTCAGAATTATCTAAGACCTGAGGGGAGTGTGAGGACACCTCTTTGCTCCTCCCTCAACGTTTGGTCACTGGGCAGCGGGTAGAAGAACCCAGTGATGATCCCTTGTTGCTCTGGCTTGGCACAGGATTGGCTCTGCAAGAAAAAACCCCAGATGGTCCCTCAAGGCTGGACAAGTGATCGGAGCAAATGAGGAGGAACGTGCCCAGCGCTCAGCAAGGATGCAGAGTCACACCGGCCGTGCTGTAGCCCTAACCCCTGATGACCTTCCGGTGAGGCCGTGCCCACGGAAGCCCCTGCCCGGAATCTTCACTCAACATTTCTATTCTCTGGAGAATTTGCTCGGCCCCTGGACAACCCCCCCCCCCGCCTCACCCCACCTTCACCAGTCTGAAGACCTAACCAGGAAAGACATACCCCAGATCTCACTTACCTCGCTTTAGGGATCCATCACAGGAAGGACAGGAGAGAGCAAAAGACAGAGCGTGAGCAATTCGTATCACATTTGCAACAGCAGAACCACGTAGACGAGCTCGGGCAGGGGCGGGGTGGTGCCAGGCACACAGCAGAAGGAAATGAGGCATCGGGCAGGGGGCCAGCCCAAGAGTGCCAGCAGGACAGAATGAAAGTCCAGGGGGCCTCGGGACTACTGGAGGTCTTGCGGGGAGCTGCGGCCCGTCAGCTGGGGGAGGGGGGCTCAGGGAAGCCTCACCGCCCGGTTCCAGCATGTGAAAGCTTCCAACCTTGGCCTCGTGGGCAAATTCCCAAAGCCATGTTCATCTGCTGGGCCAAAGTCACATCGAGGCCGAGCACATGGGCAAGCTACCTGAGCCACCCAGAGACACCCTGAGGTCTTCCCCAGGGAACCTGGACGTGGGTTCTGCTCAAAGTCTAGGACACGTGGTGGCTCAGGACTGTTCCTGTTCTAGAACCTGGCTTCCTGGGGGCCTAGAGGAAGGTGCCTCCCCTCTGGGGCCGAAATCTGCGGCAAAGGGCTTGGCCGGCCTAGAGACGGGGCAGGGGGCGGGGGGGGGGGGCTACTTACACTTCAGGCATGGTGGCGGTTGGTCGGGGGGCAGCACCTGGAGGCACAAAGCAATCATCAAGGTGGGAAAGGTGGAAGGCCTGCAGCCCGCCCCAGCTGGGCCCTGGGGCTGCGCCAGCCCGGGCCAGCCCGACAGCAGGAAGAAGGATTCGGACGGGATAAGCACTTGTCCATCGGTTCTTTGTTTTCATTCATTCGCTCATTCGCTCACGAGAGAGAGCAATCTTACAAAAGCAAAGAAGCAATGGATATAAGAACCAAAAGGAGCTCTGTTGGACAGGTATGTAGGCGGGGCGGGGGGGGTCTGCAAACCATGGCCCCCAGGCCAAATCTGCCGTCCCCCACCCCCACCCCACCCCAACCCCCACCCAACCCTCCTGCCTCCCGCCTCTTTTTAAAAAGCTGAAAGGGTTGTAAAATAAAGAATATGCAACAGAACATTGCGTGGCCTGCAAAACCTAAAATATCTACTATCAAGCCCTTTCCAGAAACGTTTGCCAACCCCCGCGGAACAGAATGGAATCCACAGAAATCTGTCCGAAAACTGAGGTCCTGGTGCCCTAAACACCATGTCGCATTCAGAGTGTGTCCTGGGGCTGAGGGTGGTCACGGAAGTCCCCAGGGAGGAGACCGTCTGAAAGGTGGATGGTGCAGAGCCAAGATGGAGCACAGGTAAGTGCCACCTGGCACAACTCCAGGGGGCGCCGTGCACACGCTGGGCCATGTCCTGGTGCCCGGGGTGCCGTGCCCAGGCCCGGCAGTGTGACGGGCACCCCTGGGTAGGGCGGTGAGAGGCCCTACCAAATCCTGCCTTCTACGTTCATCTTTATCCTGACCCGCTCCAGGCCAGCTCTCCTCTGTAAGAATCGGGGTTAGACAAATCGTTGTCCACTTAAAAAAAACTCTTCACCCCTTTGTTCAAACCAAATTCTAATTGGAAGCAAAACAAATTCCAGCAATAAGAGCAAACGGCACAAGCTGAAGGGGGGACATAGGAGCCCCGTGGGCCTCTGCGGTGGCCCCTGGCTGTGGAGCACTGTGAAGGCCCCCGACGGGGGTTGTTCTGGGGCTCCCTTTAGTCCCGACAGTTGGAGGACTCAGGCCAAGAAGGGGGTCCCTTGAGGCCTCACAGGGGGTGACTCCAAAACCAGACCCAGCTCAGCATCCTGCAGGGCCTGGACCAAGAGCGTTCCCGTAGAGGGCAGGGACTGTGCAAAAGATCGGGGGAAGGAGAAGGATAACTCGGGTGGGAGCAGGTGAGCGAGGCGGGACAGGAATCCCCAGCTGGGTCCCACAGTGAAGGATAGGGGAGGCCAGTGTGTAGCATCGGGGGGCATGGGGCACTGCAGGTCAGGAGTTGGAATTTGCTCCAAGAACCTGGCTTGGTCCCGGTGAGGGCAGAGTCTCAAGGAGGCTTGTAAAGCGGCTACCGGTGATTTCATTCCGGAGCCACCTCCCACCTCCGCCTCAATGCTCTCCGTTCCCTGTACGCCCGGGAAGCTCCCCCCAGCCCGTGAGTGGGGCTTGACCACCTGTCCTGCATCTCCCCACCCCGTCAGAAAGCCCTCTGGGCCTCCTGGGGTGGAGGAGGTGGAGGGAGTATGACCCAGAGTCTCAGCTGTCACCCTGGGGCACAGAGGGAGAGGTAGGATCCAATCCATAAATTCCCGAGATATTTGGCTGAAATTAGATTTTATCACCAGCTGTTTATTCTGAGGGCTCCACTCCTCAAGGAAGTCCAAAAAGAAACACTAGCTGGTGAAGAAACACCTCCAGGTCCTTCTGTCCATCATCACGCCCCCCCCCCCCATAATGCCAGTCCCCGGGGGGCAGCAGGTCGCAGCCCAGTGGGGATGGCCTCAGCCTTGACAGGCATCTGGCCATGTCCACGCCTCCCTCAGAGCCCACTGTCACCAGCCTGGGGCCCAGCCGGTCCAGGCCAGTCCAGGCCTCCTGCCAAGCGCCAGGGCCTGCCCCCCTGCCTGCCCCACTGACAAACGCCAGGCCGAGGGGTCCCCAGCCTGTGCTCTGATACCCAGCAGACGGGACCCCTTGACAGGTCCCCTGGAAGACAAGCAGAAACCTGATAAGAAGTCAGGATGCAGATAGCGCAAACGTGAGGTTGGCGGGCCAGCATTCCATCTCCCCCGCGAGTAGCAAGTGAGGAGATAACTCCGCAAACCCACCACTGGAGGGAGGGGGCAAAGGGTAGCCGGGGGGGCGGGGGGGGACTGGGAGCTGGGCTTTCCCTTCCCCGAGGCCCCATGCGGTGGACCAAGAATATCAACTAGACTAGGAGACCGAGGCTGAGCGTACGAGCGTCTGTGTGTAAGGACAAGTGTCTGAGCGATAGCGTGCGTGTGTGCGTGTGTGTGTGTGTGTGTCTGCAGGGGCAGGGACTGACCTTGGACCCCAGTTCAAGGGCATCTCAGTCCTCTGGTCGTGAGCAAGCGTGGTGCTCCCGCAGCCCCCTCGGAGCCCCCTCCCTCCACAGGAAAGCCGAATCTCAGAGCTCCCGTGGGACCGTCGCCCCGACGGGGTGGCCGTGCCGCCTCAGCCCCAGCGCCCAGCCGTGGTTCCCGTAGAGAAGGTGCCCGGGCCCAGGCGCAGTCCCACCTGCCTCCCTCCAGAGGCCCCGACCCCCACCAACCACCTCGTGGAGCCGGGCCGGCGGACGGGGCGGCTCCTGGCGCGGGGTTGGCAGCCTGCCCTCACCTGCTCGCTTCGGGCGGCTGCAGGGGTGCTGAGGACGGCCCCCCAGGACACAGGACAGAGGGGCAGGACGGCTTCCTCCGCCCGCAGGAGCTGCGACTGGAGCTCTGGGTCCCGGAATGCAACAGAGCCGGGCACCTGCTGCGGCCACAGGCATTGCCACTTCGGCCGCCGCCCAGGCTCATCCTGGACTCGCAGCAGCCGCCAGGGCTCCGACTCCCGCCGCGCCCCTGCACCCCCCCCCGACACCTGCTGGGCAGCCTGGCTCCACCCTGGGGCCCTCGGAGCACCCTGGTGGGAAATTCGGCTCCTGGCTCTCAGCCTCCGATGGGCAGTGGGCACCTGCCGCCAGCCTGGCGGGAGAAATGTCGTGCCCAGGACAGAAGGCCGGAGCGTTTGGGGACCGTGCTCCAGGCCAGCGTATAGGTCCCGCTCCGTCGCCAAGCCCCGGCCGCCTCCAGCTTCTCCCTCGGGGCCGGCCCCAACTCAAAGGCCGGGGCTGTGACACGTACCTCTGGGAGCCTCCGGGAGCTGGGCTGGCTGTGTCGCCGCGGACCGCAGACTGCGAGGGGCAGGCCGAGGGGAGGCTATGAAAACTGCGGGCCGCGGCAACTGGCCAGTAAAAATAGAACAGAGCCGCTGCCCCTCCCCTGCCCTCCCCTCCCCTCCCCTCCCCCCGAGCCCACACACGCAGCACACACAGCGGGCACCCGCTGAACACACATGCGTCCGGGCTCGGGAGCACACACGTCCTGTGCTCCCGGAGGCCGCTCACCGAGTAAACCAGCACCCGCTGGGGGGGACGCGCGCTGAAGCAGGGAGACGACGGGCACCAGAGCAGAGGAGGCACTGAGCAGCGTGGGCCCAGGGCCGAGCGCAGGGCTCTGGTGGGGGGCACCGGGAGGCCGCGGGCACCAGGAGGAGCCGGGGAAGGGGGGCTGCCTCGCTGACCGACGTCTCTCCCAAGGAAATGTGGAAATCAGGCCCCTGAGCTCAGGCCCCAAAAGCCTAAGAGGGCTCAGGACTGGATTTGGGGACTCTCGGGTGGCTCTGCTACACGGGCCCTAGGAGGATGCCCGGGCTTGGGGGTGACGTCAACCGCGCGGCAGGCTGATGCCAGGGGCTAAGCTGAGTCCACCTTGATGCTCATGGAGGCCTGAGGACACTGCACCCTTCTCCAAGTAGGATTCTGGGAATCTAGGCTCCCCCAGGTTCCAAAGGGCACCCCACACCCAGGCCTGGAACTCAGTGAGGCTAGCCCACCTTCTCCCCCGCCCTACCTCTGTCTCCAGCCAGAATCCAGGGAGGCCGGAGCCGTAGAGGCTGCACCTGTTTCCCGGGTATTTTTAGGACAGTTGATGAACACATAATACCCACCCCATAGTCAGAGAAAGACAATGCCTGCTATGTTAATCCTGTGGCTATTATCGTCCGTCATCTCCTGGGCCAGGATCCCGGGCTGGGACGGGACAAGCAGGATACTGACCCCTCTTGGAGGCCAGCGAGAGGCCTACGAGCAGCAGGAGGTTAGGGAGGGTGGTGGAGGAGAGAGCTGGCGGGCCGGGGGGTCCTGAGGAGACCACCCGCGGTGCCTCCAGAGGGGTGAGAGGCCCTGCCATTCTGGTTGTGTTCAGAGGCTGCTCTGATTCGGCTCGGGTCACGTCTGTTTGGGAAAGCCCCGATGCTGGAAGGCTGCCGGGGAGAGGGGACGGGGTCTGCGAAGTTATAGGGCCGGGAGGCATGGGACTCTGAGTGGAGGGGCTGGGATGGACATTAAGGGCAGGCATGAGCCGCGGAGCAGCAGCTGGAGGTCAGAGAAGGGGTTTGAAGGCCGGGATGAGTCTACTGGCGTTTACCACGTTGGCTCATCGCGTTTATAATTTATATAAGAACTTTTCTTACAAGACGTCAAGATGCAAATGGAAATGAATTCTCTGCACGGATTATGCTGCTTTCTGGAAAGGGAAAACAAAGAAAACATTTACAAATAGAACAAACGAGGGTCGGCAGGGACCACGATGAGTCGCGGACTCTGAGGGCCCTGGGTGTCATCCTTCCTCAGTCCTAACGGGACAGAGCGGGGCCAGGACCCCTCGTCCCAGGCCCCATAGACACCATCCCACCTCGCCACGCGGGGCAGCTCTCCACCCTCAGATCCACCCCGGCCCGTCAGCATCTCTAGGGCCTTGTTCCTGCTGTTCACAAGTAGCCTTCAGAAATGGGGCTGTCGTGCCCTGGTGTCCTTGCACCTGCCCCGGTTTTCTTCCTTTACACGTGGAGGCAGGGGCCTCCGGAGTCCACCTGCAAGGCTGGCGATGTCGGGCTGGAAGCTGCCCACATGCAGCTGAGGGGCCACCACTGGAGGTGACAGGCCCTGGGCCCCTTTCTGCCCCTGCCCAGGGCGCTTCTGCAGCCTTTCTCCTGCCCTCCTCGCTTACTGTCACCCCCTTCTCAGCACGTATCCGCACAGCGGCCACGTCACCCACCTGCCACCCAGCCTCACCTGGCCAGCGGGGACCCTCCCCAGACACAGAGCCGGAAACAGTCCTCAGGCCCCACAGGACCCCCAGCAGAGCTCCCTGCAGTAGGCCGAATGATGGCCCCCAAAGTCGCCCATGCCCTAAAGAGAAGGAATGCGAACACCACCTCGTGTGGCAAAAAGTACTTTGCAAACCTGATGAAATTAAGGAACGTGAGTCGGAGAATCATCCTGGATCATCCACGTGGGCCCAATCTACTCACATGGGTCCTTGTCGGACGGAGGCATTAGGATCAGAGTCAGCAGAAGGACACCCGATGATGCAAGAAAGATCAAAAAAGAAAGAAGATGCCGTGCTGCTGGCTTGGAAGACAGAGGACGTGACTGTGAGCGAAGGAATGCAGGCAGCCTCTAAACGCTGGAAAAGTCAAGGAAAAAGACACACACACCCCCTTAGAGCCTCAAGAGGGAAGCAGGCCCGCGACACTTTGTTAGACCAGTGAGACTGATTTTAGGCCTCTGCCCTCCAGGACCGTAAGATAATAAACTTTGATTATTTTGTTTTGTTGTTGTTTTAAAGATTTTATTTATTTATTCATGAGAGATACACAGAGAGAGAGAGAGGGAGAGGCAGAGACACAGGCAGAGGGAGAAGCAGGCTCCTGCAGGAAGCCCAGCACGGGACTCGATCTCGGGTCTCCAGGATCAGGCCCTGGGCTGAGGGCAGGCACTAAACTGCTGAGCCCCCAGGGCTGCCCCAACTTTGGTTATTTTGAATCACTGGGGTCGTGGCAATTTGTCACAGCAGCTGTAGGAGACTAATACACCCTATAACACCTTTCTGGTCCCCAGGACTCCACGCATCAGGCTGTGCTTGGGGCCAGCCAGGAGCATGGTGGGCTTGCCGGGGGGTGGCGCTCGGTGAGAAGAACCAGCCCAGGTCCAGCGTCCTCTGGGCACCACAGCCCAGGGAGGACCCTCACGCAGCCCTGGCCAGAACCCAGCTCACCGGGACGTCACCCAGCCAGGGCCTCCCCGGACGTCAGCTCGGAAGTCGCCCAGAGGCTCACAGGAGTCAGGGCGGGGAGGCTGCCCAGCGCTCTCACTGTGTCCTTGAGGAATCGGGGCCCAGAGAGAAGGGGCCTCCTAACGGCCAGCCCAGCGCTCCCGTCATGTTGCACCGACAGCAGGGTCACGTCCGTCCCCTCGACTACACCCCGGTTCTCATCCTACCAGCCCAGCTTTAACTCGAATGCGCTCCTGGGCCCATCTTTAACTCTCACAGTTGCCGGAGGCCCACAGGCGTCCTCGACGTGCCCGGCCCGGCCTGCTCTGAGGGTGGTGGGAGCTGAATAACCTGCAGGGCTGCGCCTACCAGAACCTCCGCCTGCTTGCTCTCCATTCTCTCCTGCCAGCTGGCACTTGCTCCCTTGCGATCGATTCTGCGAACCGTTTAGCGTGAAATGCTCGCGCTGACCTTGTTCATCTGCCTCGTCCAGCTTCATCTCCAGCCTCGCCCTGTCACGAGCCCGTGAATCTAGCTTCGGCGCCCCCAGCCCTGCCCTAGCCTAACCCTCTGCGGCTGCGGCTGACCCGCCTGCAATGTCCTCTCTGAACCTGGGCTTCCTCATCTGGAAACTGGCTTTACGGTGACGGTGACGGGCGACCTGAGGCTGAGCCTGGCCTCCACGGGGACCCCGCACCCTGGGGGCGGGAGGCAAAGAGGATGGCCACCCCTTAGCGTCTTCTCAAGTTCAGGGAGAGTCTGGGGCAGCCTTGGCCGGGGCCCGGTGGTCTGGGCCCTCTCAGATCCCCCAGACTTCGCAGCTCAATGCAAAACAGATGGAACAATTGCCGGAGGAGAGACGAGAACCCGGACTTGGTGGATGCGGGGAGGGAGGGGCCAATCCAGGAAGAGGGAGCAGTTCGGGTAGGTGAGGTGACGGGAGAAAAGCCAGAGGGGTTTCCAGCCTCCCGTCCCACCGGCTCCCAGGGCTCGGGAGGCCCCGGGGCGAGGAAGGAAGCGTCTGGACAGAGGAGCTAAGCCTTGTAAGGCTGCGGGTTGTGGAGCCAGGGCCTGTCCCCTCGTCCCCTCGTCCCCTCGGTGGTGGTGGCAACACCTGTCAGCCCCACTGCCCTGGCATCCTCAGAGCCCAGGAGCCCAAATTAGCAAGTGACAGGGCTCCGCCCGCCTTCCAGGCTGCGGCACCCCTGGGGAGCCGGCCCCGCCACAGCCCATCGGTTGAGCCAGGGCCAGGTTCCCAGGAGCTGAGTTCTGGGAGGAGGCAGGGCTGTGGGCGGAGGAGGCCGGAGCCGGAGGAACCAGGAGCCCGAAGCCCCCACCCTTCGATTCTCTGCCACAGCCCAGCCTCACACTCAGGGCCTGTGGCCTCAGGGACGCGGCCCAGGACGGGCCCTGCACACACGCCTCCCTGGTAAGGCTCACGCCTGTGACTTGGGCGCTTCCCCCTTCCCAGCCTCTACTTCTCCTTCTACAGGGGCGGCTGGGAGGCCCGAGCGAGGGACCGCGCCTGGAGGCCCCGCCGACGCCCGCACGACACCGGAGCTCCGCCAGCCTTAGCTCCCAGCGTATTCCCGAGGCGCCAGCGCAGCATCCCGAGGTAGGTCCTCTCAGTAACCCCACTTTAGCGACCAGGAACCCGGGGCGACCAGCTGATTAAGCAACGCCCCCCAGACCCCACTGTAGGGACAGGGCAGGCCTCGGCTCCTCAGCCAGCCCCACCCTTGCCGGCCCAGAGCAGGTGCTCCCGAGTGCTCCCTGAACAGGGGCCTGAGCTTATCCGCGGGGGGGGCCCACCAGGGGTGTGGGCTGGACCACGCTCGGGCCCCAAGTCCCCACAGACTCCCTGACAACCTCAAAGCCTGCAAGTGATGCTCTGATCAGCTCGTCTCTACCTACCTACCAGTGAGGGCTGCGTAGCCACGGTCGGCATCCACCGTATCTCGGGCCGATGCCCCACGACAGGGAGGCCCCCTCCCCCTGCCCCTCCAGGGAGGCCCAGTTGTGGCAGGTGAGGGAGGCAGCCCTTGGGCTGGAAGCAGGGGCAGCAAGGCAGGGGGAGCTCCGCAGGCTCCCAAGGACGGCAGACAGGGCTGCCTCCGTCCCTTCAACAGCAGCGTTGCTCACACTCCCTCCGTCAAAGCTCCAAGCCCTCGCTGCCACCCATGCACACCCCCGACGGCCTCCCACGCCCCGTGCACACCCCCAACGGGCTCCCATGCCCCCGACGGCCTCCCACACCCCACGCACACCTCCTGGGTCCTCCCTCCTCCCCCGGCCCAGCCATGCCCACCCTGAGTCCTCTACAGCCATGTGCTCAGCTCCCCCGCCAGTCCAGGGCTGTAATGGAGGATGGGGACCAAAGGCCACCGTCACCCCCGTCCAGACCTCCTGTGTGCTGTTCCTCAGAGACCTTGCACCCAAGAGCCCGGGATGGGCCCTGGCCTCGGCGGGTCCCTGGAAAATAGGCTGCTTCTCCAGAAATCCCGAGATGAGCAGGTGGGGGTGGGGGCTGACTCCGCAGAGCAGGAGGGGAGGTGGGGGACAGAGCTTGGAGGGTGAGGGGGCAAAGCTCAAACAAATTCTTTTCCGAGTGGCGTGTGGCCAGTGAGCAAGCCTGGAGCCGGGGGGGGGGGGGGCAGCTGTGTCCCCCACATTGCCGCCTCCCCCCTGCCCCAGGGTACCTGCAGGTCTGCAGGCCGGCCTGTCCACGCAGATCCCAGCTTGCCCGCCCCTCTGCCCTAGCCCTGGGAGGTCCAGCCCCCCACCTCCCGCAAGATCCCCCGGGTTTCCACCCTTGCACCTTCGCTGGCCGCCTGTGAAGCAGAAACAGTTACTCTCTTCCACTGTGGCTCCGAAGGAGTCTCCGCGGGAAGCCACCTCCTCCCGGAAGCCTTCCCAGACTCCACATCCCCGTGCTGCCCAGGTCTGCCTGCCTGCGTGGCTCATTCTTTCTAGCCCTTGCTCCACCTCTCCCCAGGTGTGCAGCCTTCCCTCCCCACTGGGAAAGTCGGGGGGGGGCAGGGGAAGGGTCCCAGTGACCAGTGACCGAGGAGCAGGCCTCCGCGCCCGCCTGCTGCTTGCCCTCGGGGTGCATCAGCGTCCCGCGCGGCCGCGAGTCCCGGCTCCTCAGGCAGCGCCCAGACCTGGAGATGTGCGGCCGTGACTCGAGCTCCGGGCGGGAGCTCATCCTGCGGCTCCAGGAGGGTGCGGGAGGCTCACTCTGGGGCACCTGGGGGCTCGGTGGGCGGAGTTGGCCTGAGACTCGGGTCAGGATCGGGGTCCTGGGATCCAGCCCCCCATCTGGGCCCTGCTCCGCGGGAAGCCTGCTTCTCCCTCTCCCTCCGCTGCTCCCCCTGCTTGTGCTCCCCCCCAGCCCCCGCCGCTAGTGTGCACGCGCTGTCTCGCTCTCAAATAAATAAAATCTTTATAAAAGGAAAGGCCCTCACTCTGGACAGACACACCTCTTGGTGGCTTGACCCGACCTGCGACGGCCCTGCCCTCTGCGGAGCCTGGCCCGCCGGCCTCCCACCGTTGCCTTCTTCCCCTCCGGCCCCAGACCCAGGGGACTCGGGACTCGGGAGGTCCCCACACAGCCGGCGGGGTCCCAGGCCCTGCCCCAGGCCCTGTGGTTTGCACGGTGAGCCTCAGACCCCCCGACAGCGCCCGGGGCAGCAGCCAGGCTCACGCACCTGGACTCGAGTGTCCCATGTCGAGGTCCCTCCCACCCTTTCCCCCTTCCTTCTTCCCAGGCTGCGGAAGGCATTATCCTCTTCCTGGTCAGAGGGCTGCGCTTAGTCCCAGGGCGAGCGGGAAGGTGAGTGAGCGGCCGGCGCCCCAGCCTGCTGCCCGGCGTGGTGCCAGGGTGCGTCTCCTGCGTGGGCGCCCAGCCGCCTGCCAGCGCGGCCTCACACCGCGGTCGCACCCTGAGCCCCACCTCGGTGCCTCCGTCTGTTCCTCACATCACAGAAAATGGCACAGCCACCACCCGAGCCAACCCCAAGTCCCCGGGGCATGCACCTCTCCTGTCCTCCCTGCTCCGCGTGACCACGCGTGTGGAGATCGGTGGCTCCCCGCTCGGGGTCCCCGACCTGCCGCTGCCGTTGGGCCACCGCGTGTGGCTGGCTTGGCTGCAGCCCGTCCAGGATACCCCTGCTGCCTGAACCATCTTCCTCAGTCCCTTCACTTCCCCGGGTCCCCCATCACCGCCCTCAGGATGAACCGCAAACCCCGGGATCAAGTTACATGCCTTTTGGGATCTCACTCTGGAAGCTTCCCTGGCTTCCACACCCCCTTAGCTCCGGCCACAGGGAGCTGCAGAGGCTTCTCGGAAGGCCTTTCTCTCTCACTCCACCCCAGGCCCACCGCACCTACCCTCCTCCGGGTCTCAGCAGCACACTGGCTCCTCCAGGAAGCCTGCCCTGACCACCCCAGACCGCGTTAGGAGCGCTCGTCCAGGCTCCACAGCCTCCGTGCGTCACTCTTTTCCCACATTTAACCCATGAAGTTCAAGTCACATTCTGGACAAACTTGAATGTTGACACCATGTCTTATTCATTTTTGTATCCTCAGCGCCCAGCACAGCGGCTGGCACATAGTAGGTGCTCAATAAGTGCTCAGTGAAGGGGAGAGATGCCTGGGGGGCCCCAAAGATGGGCAGTCGGGCATCTGCCTTGGGCTCAGGACATGACCCCAGGGTCCCAGGATCAAGTCCCACGTCGGGCTCCCCGCAGGGAGTCTGCCTCTCCCTCTGCCTGCGTCTCTGCCTCTCTCTCTGGGTGTCTCATGAATAAATAAATAAAATCTTAAAACACACACACACACACACACACACAGGAGCCTTCTGACCAAAGACAGTGCAGGAAATTGGCCCCCAGGGCTCGGAGAGTCCTTGCTTGTTCCCCGGGGTCCTGAAGTGACATTGGAGTGCTCGTGGCTAAGGGAGCAGGGCAAGAGCTTCTGGGAAGCCTCCTCATTCGAGTTCTTGGCACCCAGCGGTCTGGGCTCCCTCCCCTGGGAGAAGCAGCCGCAGCCACTCACTGACCTTGACACAGGTGATGACCTGCTGTCCCCTCCAACAATGTGCTCACACAGACATAGAAACAACAGCGGGACAGCTGTGCCTTTGTTGATGGTAAACTTAGCCTCCCAGAGGTCACCCGGGACTATGACCACCTCCTCACCCCTGGTCCAGGCTGGGCTAGGACGTCAGGGGCAGAGGCACCCACAAAGGGCCCCGCCAGGACTCCTGGTGGACACCTAGGGCCCTGCCGGATCCTCCTCCCCTCTCCGTTCACTCCAAACCCCGCCCCCTCCACCGTCTGCAGACTCCAGCCCCCCCCTCCTCTCCCTCCCTCACGCCTGCCCCCCAGGCCACGGCTGTGTCTCAGGAATCCTGGGGAGGAATTGATGTGGAGGGGGCCTTCCCATCAGAGGGTCTGTGAGGTTCCCCTAAGTCCCCGCCAGGGCTCAGTCCATTAAGTGTCCGCCTCCTGCTCAGGTCCTGATCTCGGGGTCCTGCGATGGGTGGAGTCCTGCATCCCTGCACCTGGCTCCCTGCTCAGCGGGCGGTCTGCTTCGCCCTCTCCCCCCACTCATGCTTGCTCTTGCGCCCTTTCTCAAATAAATAAATACAACCTTAAAAAAAAAAAAGACCTGAGCCAGGCTCCCCAAAACCCTAAGGCTGAGGGAATCTCCTTCTGAGGGCAGAGCTTCCGTGGGTGCCCCCCACCCCTTTTCACACTGGGGCACAGAGGGGTCGGGGGAGCTGTGGTGCTCCTGCCTGTGCAAGGAAGGCCATGCCCTCCTTTGTGTCCTCCCCATTGCAGACTCCCAGCCAGAGGCCAGCTCACAACTGCACCCGTCCCCTCTCTCCTCATCCGAGGTCTCACCTACAGGAGGCTCCATAACCCGCAGCCCCGCCCTGGACTTGCTCGGTGCCGTCCAGGGGACGTACTGTGCACCCAGGTGGAAGGCCCTGGAGCAGAGGTTGGGACCCCCGGGGGTGGGGTGACACTCATCCTCCCAGACCAAGCGGGAGGTGGAGGTGAGGTCGGGCCTTACAAGACAGACAATCCCTCCCCCATCACGGCCACCCTGTGCTTGTCCACGACTGTGCTTCTCCAGGGCGGTCTGCTGACTCTTGGCTCCCTGTCACTTTTCCTTTTTCATCACGTTGGCATTTACACCAATGGTGCAAAGACAATGGTGGCGAGAGCTGCTGATGCCAAAACAGGAATCGGGCAGTGGCACCAAACTAGCGCCACTAGTGGTCACTGTGTGCTTCCCGCCGTCCGCTCACGGGGAAAGGCCAGCTCTATTCACTTACGATGAAACGGGCGGAGGTGCTCATTGTGTCCTATCCAACATGGTTAGGGTACATGGTGCTCATCAGCCGTACACCAAAGTGGGATGCAATGCAGCGCTTCCGGCTGCGTTTGTCACGGCGTGTCACCTTTACTCGATAGAACAGCTAAGTGAAAAACTACGGTTAGTTGGACCTGCGCATTGGTGGATAATTTTCTCGAAAACGAAAGAAATGGGACTGTCGCTGCAGAGAAAACAGCTACGTGTATTATTTGTTGTTAGTTATAAAATTCAAGCTTTCAAGGGAAAGTTCAAATCTGGCAAAATGTGTATCTGCCTTTGTGGACTCGAGAGCTTCCCAAATATGCAGACTTTTCGGATGAGATCAGCGCTGATACGAAAGAATGCGACCTTTAAAAATCATCGTACCACGTATAAGTGTGTCCACGCTGGGAAGATACGCATGAGCCAGAGTTCCAATATTTTCCAAATGCCCAACGCAGAGGGCTACAAAACCACACGTGGGCAAAAGATCCATTCAGTACACGAGGGCGCCTGGGGGCTCCGTCGGTGGGGTGTCGGACTCTTGGTTCCAGCTCAGGTCATGACCTCAGGGTCCTGGGACTGAGCGTGGATGGGGCTCTGCTGGAAGATTTTCTCCCTCTGCCCTTCCTCCCACTTGGATACACTGTCTCTCCCTCGAATAAATAAATACAAATCTTTAAAAAGGTGCTACATGAAACATTGGATTTCAATGTAACAGACTATGAACACTATTAGGTACTTTCAGATTCCATATGGTAGCTAACCTTTAAAAAAAAAACCCTCTTGGTGAGTTGTTGGTTTTTTTTTTTTTTTTTTAAGATTCATTCATATATTTTAGAGAGAGAGCACAGTGCGGGGGAGCAGAGGGAGAGAAGCTGAAGCCGGTGGGGCACTGAGCACAGAGCCTGTTTTGGGGCTCGATCCCAAGACGCAGAGGCCACAAGCCCAAGATCACGACCAGAGCTGAAACCAAGAGTCAGCCGCTCAACCGACTGCTCCGCCCCGGCGCCCCTGGTGAGTTTTTTTTTTTTTTAATTTTTTGTGTGTATTTTATTTATTCATGAGAGTCACAGAGAGAGAGGCAGAGACACAGGCAGAGGGAAAAGCAGGCTCCTCTGAGGGAGCCCGATATGGGACACGATCCTCAGACCCTGGGATCAGGCCCTGAGCCAAAGGCAGATGCTCAACCTCTGAGCTACCCAGGTGCTCCCCCGGTGAGTTTTAATATAAAAAACTATGCACAGTTCTCTGAAGAGGCTGTTGAAGTACTGCTCTCCTTCCTAACCACGCCTTTGTAAATGTGGATGTTTTCATGTACTTCAACCAAAACATCATAACAGATGGACTGCAGAAGCAGGTATGAGAACGCCACTGTCTCCTATTAAGCCAAACGTGGAAAAGATGTATAAAAACGTAGAATAAGTCACTCTTCTTAGGTATTTTTATTTTGTAACTTTATTATAAGACGTTTTGTTTCAAACAGATAATGACCATTCGTTTCATTTACATTATTTTTGTTTATAGGATTCACTGGAATATTTTATTTCTATTAACGTGTGAGGTGGGATATTGTAATTATAATTATAATAATTTATTAATTATTAAATGGATTGATCAGTATCTTATTTTATTATTTTTTATTTTTTTATTATTTTTTAAATCAGTATTTTAAAACTTCCTGTTTTAATTTCTAATATGGTAAATATCTTTTTTAAAGATTTAACTTATTTGAGAGAGGGAGAGCCAAAGAGCACAAGCAGGGGGAGCTCTGCTGAGCAGGGAGCCCCACTTGGGGCTCGATCCCAGGACCCGGGATCATGACCTGAGCCCAAGGCAGACACTTTACCGACTGAGCCACCCAGATGCCCCTCTAATAAGGTAAATATTGATGGCTATGACCTACTTAAGCAAAGAGTATTTAGGGTTCTCAATAAAGAGTGTAAAGGGGTCTTAAATGCCCCAAATTTGGGGATCATCATTTCATGCTTTTAGTAGATTATTATTGCTATTTTCCTGATTCACTTATTTTATCTATAAAATACAGTTTTAAAAAAATGATCAAGAAAAAATGAAATATGATTTTTAATTTTGTCAAATGACAGCCAGTGACAGGAATCGGTCACAATATCCAAGTTATTAAAGGCAGGATTGGCCACAGCGGACTTTGTGGGTTGGTGGCTTAATAAAATATCCCTAAATGACACGAGAGGGAAATTTTCATAAGAAAGTGTGCGAAACAGGGGCGCCCGGGGGGCTCGGGGGTGGAGCATCTGCCTTCCGCCCAGGGCGTAACCCCGGGATCCCGGGATCAAGTCCTGCTTCTCCCTCCGCCTGTGTCTCTGCCTCTCTGTGTGTGTGTCTCTCATGAATAAATAAAATATATCAAAAAATAAAGTGCATTAAACAGGTTGTGCACCTGTGATTTTTATTTCTGTCCTCTGTGTGGTTTTGTGCGAGGCAACGGGCATCCTCCAACATGAAATTCTGGTTCTTAGGAGCTGGAGATGAAGAGATGAAGTTCTCCTCTTCGCCACCAGAGGGGCGGGTGGGGGGAGAGAGAGAGAGAGAGAGAGAGCGGGAGCGAGCGTGTGCAGCCTCTCTGTGGCCCCTGCCAACTCCGTATATGAAATCCTTTGTGCAAACCTCAGGTGTGAATCCCTTTCCATTTGCCTCTCCCCCCCCCCCCCGTCCCCACCCCAGAGGACATCAGAAGCGGTCCTGTCCCAGCGTGTCCCCATCACAGGCAGAACTTTCCGGGCGCATCCGTGCCCCCACTTGGTAAGCGGGGCCCACCCAGGGCAGCAGGGAGCTCCAGGCCACCCATGCAGCCGGGCGGCAGGGGTTCAGCGCGGTGCCTGGAAGCCCCATACGGGGTTCGGGCTCAGGGCTCAGGGCTCGGGGCTCGGGCAGGCCTGTCTCCCTCCGGTCTAGGAGTTCCCTGGAGGATCTCAGCCCTTACATGGTTCTTTACTTTCTGGGAAGGGTTCGAACTTTCTTGAAGGCTTTTGAAATCCTTTAAGGATGGGGTCCTTAAAGGACATGTGGGAAGTCGTTGGCTGCCTCGGCTCAGGCCCGTGGGGCGGGGGCCTGGGCTGCAGATACCGGGGCCTGGGCTGCCCTGGCACATCGGCCTCCCTGCTCGGGGGGCTGCTTCTCCCTGCCTCCCCCCACCCCTTGCTCCTGCTCGCTCTCTCAAATGCATAAATAAAATCCTAAAAAAGAAAAGTCGTAGCCTTCACACACATCAACCCAGGGAGCCGAGGCCCTCTGAAAACCTGTTCGGGGACCTCACGGGAGGGGACCGGCTGAGCCAGGCGTGTGTGCAGCTGACTGTGAGGTCTGAGGGCTTCTCCTTGGGGTCCGGGGCGGCAGGGGTGGGGGGGGCACCTCCAGCCCCTGCTCCTCTCTGGTGCCCTGGAGCCCAGCAAATGGGGCTGCAGGACAAGGCAGCCAACAGCAGAGAGCAGTGTGGACCAAGGACTGAAGGGACCATTTCTTGGTCCGTCTGTAGGCAAAGAATAAAGGTATGGAAGGATGAGGAACATTCCTAGGACTGTTTCTGCTATTTAAGGCACTTGAGGTTCTCAGGATGCCTTGTGGGGGCCGGGGGCCAACGTATTTCTCAGCCCGTGACACAGCGGTGTTCACACGCACCAGCGCCTCCACCTCCCTGTGCCGTCAGCCTGGGGTGAGCTGCTCTCTCGCTAGACCCCCGTCATCCTCCCGCTACCCCCGTCCACGCGGCGCCTTCGTGATTCCGACTAAAACGCACGCCGTTCGTCTCCTGCCTTGGTGTCCACGTGAATATGTTCAAAAGCTCCTCAAACGTCTGCTGTACACACGACCACGTGCGGGTTCTGTTACAGTCCCGACAAGGTGTGATGAATTCCCTCGGAAGGGACGCCAGGGCGCCTGAGCGGCCCGGTGGGTGGAGGGGCTGACTCCCCGTCTCAGCTCAGGTCTCCATCTCAAGGTCATGACTTCAAGCCCCGCATGGGCCCAGCATGGAGCCCACTTAAATTTAAAAATAATAATTAAACAAAAAGAAGGGACTCAAAGGAAGCTTCACAAGAGGGCAACCCCTGAGCTACCTTTTGGAGGAAGTCCAGGAGTTCATCAGGAATCCAGGCAGAAGGTGCCCTGATGCCCCAAGGCATGCCGCGGCCGCCAGAGGTGTGGGGTGCGGGTAACCACGGGCAGGTTGCTCTTGCCAGGGTGCGAAAGACTCGGGCTGGGCACAGCAGGAGGAGACGAAGCTGGGAGTAGATGTGGGACGGTGACGAGTCACAAAACCTGATCTGCATGTTAGGTGCCAGGGAGCCCGGACTTCACGCCTTTAACTGAGGTCCATTAAAGGGTAATAAAGCCGCGTAGCATGGTCAGGTGTGAACTGTAGAAAGTTCACAAAAGGCTGCAGTATAAAAGCTGGATTAGACAATGGAAGAACTGGAGGCCCCGGGGACCCAGCTCAGAGGGAGTGATGATAATAATAAATATAATAAAAACTGATAATATAAATAATTTACAAATATAACCAAATAATGATAATAATAATAATAATAAGAGGCGACTGCTGCGGAGGATCTGAATGAAGGCAGCAGCAACAGCATGGAGCAGAGGAGGTCCAAAAGGCAATCGAAGGACAATCTTCGGCGCTGGCTGAGCAGATGTGTGTTGGGTGAAGGGGCAGTGGCAGTGGCCAGTGGAAAAGGAGAAGCATCCCGATGGATTTTCTGGCTTAGTCAATGGGATGAGCGCGGTGCCTTCAACTGAAAATGGAAATATGTCAGAGAAGGAACAGGTTTGGGAGGACGATGATGAGCTCCATTCTGGAGGAGGACTGGAGATCCTCAGTAAACAGACAAGTGGTAACAGCCAGGAGCCTGTGGGTTGGATAATCGGGCATAGGGCTCAAGGGGAGGGGAGCCTGGGGGGCTCAGTCAGGTAGGTGTCTGCCTCTGGCTCGGCTTACGACCCCCCATGGGGCTCCCTGCTTGGTACGGAGCCCGCTTCTCCCTCTCCCTCTGCCCCTCCTCCCCTGCTTGTGCTCTCAAATAAGTAAGTAAAATCTTAAACAAGGAAAAAAAAAGAAAAAAGAAAAGAGCTCGAAGGGAGA